ACCTATTCTGCCTATTTTTACCTACACAGCAGTGAGGGAGACAAACTTTTAATTATTGACTTTTTAAAGGTTTCAGTACCAAAACAATCAATATAATAACAAATGAAATAAAGCAAAATAAAAGTTAAGTAAGAATGAAAGGAACAACAACTTAAACAAAACGAAAATCGGCTGCTGTCAAACAGAAACTAAAAAACTAACTTTTGCATAGGGTATGAGTTAGTCTAACTTTTAAACTTTGTTTCTACTATGCTAAATTTGCAGTCGATGAAATTAGTAACACTGCGTTTATGAAGGAAAAATTTAAACCGTTATATATCATATGTAATCTGATATTCTATAACCTAAAAAACCCGTGAGAGGGGTGCGCCCCCCCCCCCAGGCCCCGGAGGTACACTCTTTTGTTGACCAACGAATTTTAAAACAAAGTGAATTACTTAAATGATTCAATTGTTATTCATTCAGTGTGTAGCAAACTTGAATCACAAAACTTGTTTCAGCCTTCGTCTAAAAGTATAAAAAGGGGATTTGGTATGCCTACAAGGCATACCCCTTGCTAATACGTTGCTTACTTCAACAAATTTAAGTCTGTTTTGCAGGATTCGTGGTGCAGATTGAGCAAATGTTTTCTTGCCTCTTTTCTTTTACTGGGAGGTCATGTGGTCTTTTACTGTTTAGTGGTGTCCTGTGGTTTCTTGTCTTTGCTCCATGAGGCTAGCTGAAGGTGTTAGTTTTTTCCTTTCTGTTTTTCAAAAGTGGCTTATAACCTTAAGGGTTTGTTTCCATAGTTTCCTGAGAGCGGGATCTGAATTACTATATTTTTACAGTAAGAGGAGGTTCCCTGGTATAGATTTGACATGCTGGACCCAGCTCTTTCGCGTTGCTTGCAGGATATTGAAACTCCTATTAAAGCGGCCCTACTCTTGTAACCCCTTTCATGTAAATTTGAACAAGCAAGTCTTAAGACTGGAGCGAGACGATGTTATCGTAGTTTCTCCCTTTGCGGTTATTGTGACATTTGCTAGCTCATGAGCAACACTATTTTGTTTTTGTGGCCAAAGCAGCACAACCGTTCCGACTGGCTTCAACGTTGACCTTAACGTATTTAGACTAAAAGCCTTGTTAAAGATGTCAGACCACTAATGGGCTCCGGCCAATTACATGGGGTAAGTCTGGATCCTTTTTTAGAAGGAGATAAAGGTATACATTGTTCCTTCTTGTTTGGCCCTTTATCTTTGAGGATAGCTTAAAATATCCGCTGTTTTCTTTGGCCAAAAAGCATTATTTGCGGCACAAGGGAGGCTCTCTTCGCTGACTGTAAAAGATACCCACCTCTAATGAACACAGAAGAAATCTTGATTGATCTGTTTCTAAGATACACCCAGGGAAGTATGAGCTTGACACACTACTGAAAGATCATGATGCCAAGTTCATGCATCAAACCTAGCGAATAATACGGATCTACAGCTTTCTTTCTACTTTTCTTCCTTTTTAAATAGTGACATCCCGCATTGCCATTCTCAAAAACTGTAAAGTAAAGTGCTCTTGCTCGAAATGCAGCCTCAGACAACCTAACACCCCTCCCCCAGCCTTGTTCGGTCCATCTCCTCGTTGGATCGCACTTCCCCGTAAAAAATCCTGGCTACGGGCCTGGGTTATAACCTCAGTTCTTGTAGCCCCGTTACGAGTTAACCAAACTGAATAATTCTCGCTACTTTTCATCATGATTTAGTTTTCAGATGGAAAGGCTCAGTTTATCGTGGCCTTTTCGTTGCCGCCGTAAAACACCTTAACCCTTGAGAAAGAATCAATGTCTGATAATCAAGCTGATGTACCGCACTGATTTATGATTTCACGTGTCATAATTTTCTTTTCGGGTTGATCTTACAAAAGTTATCATAACAAACGGTTAAAAAAGGCAAAAAAAATAGAAATTTGAGAATCACTGACATGACGGTTAAATTATTTGCTTTTTTAAATATTACCCTGTTTTTATTGTCTAGAAAAAGTGTCTGAGCTCTTTCTTTTCAAAGTAAGTCAAAAGGTTTGCGGTTATGATTTTTGCGGGTACAGGTCATAGATTATCGTACTTCAAGCAAACCTCCGCTCCTTGAATCCTTCACATCCCTTTAGAACCTTTTGTTCCATTCAAGTTTTTGTCAAATCGGAACTAAAGGGGCGCTGAAGTTCCTTCCCGATTACAAATTAGCTTGAAATCGTATCTTCCGCGGCTGCTCAAATTGTTTGGTGGAGGATGAATTTGAAGTAATATCTTCTATACAAAATTGTACGTTACTGATATCACGGCCAACATCTGCACTGGGACTAGTTACAAATTGCTGGAGTAATTACAATTCAACAGTCCATCTACAGCCAGGAGCCTCTATGTTTACTACAGTAAACGCGATCTTGCCTTGCGTATAAACCGAAGAGGTGTTAACCGCAAAATTAAGCGCTACCCATTGTGCTCTTGTATCTTTCATCATGCCAAATTTGCATTCACTAAAAAATAATTTGGTACAGTAACAAGTTAACCACAAAAAGTGATATTTTTTCGCCAGAAAGATTGTTCCTCAAGTTATTGTCACGGCTCCCATTTCATCTACTTTAGGAGAAGGGAACCCACATAATGAGGCAAATGTCATCCAGCGAGTAAAATTCTGCATAATGTTTTATGGGTGTCGGTTTTGAATATTAATATTTGTATTTCGGTTATCTTATATGTCTCAGAAATCGCCAACCTTACAGCAAAGTAACCACCTATTGATCAGAATATTACAAGTATAAAAAATTCTTAACAATTAGTTAAATAAACTTAAAACTTCCAGCCAAAAATTATACGGAACAACCGTTCTTGTATTGCTCTGCTACAAGTCGCATACTTAATCAGCAAAATAACAAATTTGAATAGTGGACATGCATTGGTTTGCTTCGATTTTCCTGGGAGATGAAAAAAGAAAACCTTAAGTTATCAATTAAACAAAAAGATACAAAAAGAAAACCTGAATTCTGAAACCTGCCCGCCCGTCCATTATCATAGTGTCCGCGGCTTGCAATGGACATCGTTTTACCCACGTTTCGTGTTGAAGTCAATCTTGAGGCCGGGGAAACGGATTGACTTCAAATCAGTCCTCAGTAGTGAAACAAAACTACTGCGAGTTTCCATAACAAGCTTTCAGACGTAACGAAGTTGAGAATCTTGACTTTCGTAGGCAAAAGTTTATAAGGTTGAAGACAACGCCTCATAACATATGGTTATATGATGTTATGATGGGCAAACTTTTCATGTAGACGAAAAAATTCCTAAAATAACTGATTTAAAACTTTGTGTTCACTGTGAGGTCAGGATGAGAGGTAGCTGGTGTTAGACATATATCAAACGACTCCCCTGAAACTTCCTCCATGTATTATCAAAAGCAGAGAATATTTTGCCACTCGGCAATACAGTAATACTGACAACTCAATAAAGACGACTCCAAAATGAGGGGGCCATTTTAATTTGAAACGTGGCATATCGCAGAGCATATCTGGAAAGAACTAGCGATATTAAACTTGAAAAAAATTATTGTGGAGTGTTGGCACAGAAAAACAAACACAAAGAACTTCACTACACTAACAAAGACAAAGAATAAATGTATATTAAGCTCCGGGCAAACAGGCACGTGTAAATATACCCCCTTAAAGAGGCATGAAATCAGAAAAACAAAGAACGTTATTAAACCAACATAACGTATTCGAGTTCCCCCACGTTGAAGGACAACAGAACTTTAAGAATTTAATAAAAAGAGCCGAATTACTGACAAGGAAACTAATGCATTTCTATGGTAATGTAATTTCGCGTTTGATCAACTTAATTGAGGTTACTTTATTTCGTAATGAGAACATTTGAACATAGGGCAAGGGTTTATTTTCAGAGTGTAAAGTTCCTAAAATGGTTAAAGTACCGGAGACAGAATAAAGACAAAGGTAATTACAACGATAATTAAGTAATTACACGTCAATTTATTTTCCTCGCCGAGTTTGCAGATTACAGCAAAAGTAACCGCCAAGAGATATAACAAAACCAACAAACTGTCACACGACGCGGTAGCACGTTTTACAAATCCCTTAATTTCGTGCGAAAATGAAAGCCACGGGGCTTGAAATAGCCACAGATCAATTAGCTTGTGCGAGCAAATCTTGTGACACAATTATGAACCTCTGGGCTTTTCAACGAGTCGACGAAAAAAACATACGGTCACAGTGCATAGCATGCTTAAGTGTAGATATGCGGCTTGTGTAACTCAAGCTCGACAAGAGGTACTCTCGATACCTTGCTTAATGCGAATCCGTTGACACTTTGCACGCACGATTAAGCCCCCGTATACATTTCAACTGTCGGAGAATGATCCCCACAATTCAAGAGAATGTTTATCAAGGACAAAAGGGTTCAATATAAGGTTAAGTCAAGGGTTGGACATGCTATTCACTAAAAGGATCTTGTAAACGTACAATAACAAAGGATCAGTAAGTGCTACTGCCCGCGCTCCTAAAACCTCTAAATCGCTGGGGCGGGGCTTCGTAAGCTAGAGGTGTCAATCATGTCAGCGATGCCTAAGAGATTTGCGCATTACAGTAGCAGCGTTTACTAAAGAGACGTGACAACGGCATTACCTTCACACAATTTCGAGCTAATTGACTCGGCTCCCGGTGTTATTTTAATCAAAATTCAATTATCGATCTCGCGTGTGATTGGCTGATTCGTAATGAGCCGTCCCCGGTTTCGGACTGGTTGCTGGCCGCTGACAAACACCTCTTGTGACGTAACGAATTAACACTGTAAGTAATTCGTAAATCCTTTTTGGATACAAAGCGGGACGTATATTGGTCCTATTAGTCAGTCAGTGCGATTCAGTGACCCCGTTCGAGCGCTCCTCTTCCGGTCGTTTTGTTTAGCAAGCAGCGTTTTAAAGTTCAGCGTTTAACAATTTTCTGTGGTGACTAATTCGGGTCAAAGGATTATGTCCGCCTCCTTCTCGTCCTCCTTTACGATAGAGAGCATTCTTTCACGGCCGACCCATCAACGATGCATGCCGTATTCAATTCCACACCCGTACCCAATTATGCCTTTGGCACAGGGTTATATAGGTACAGTATTTTTGTGTCTTCACACTGCGACGCATCTCAACAAGTAGATAGTTTTTCTCCCTTTTCACAGCAACCGATACCTGCAGATGTTGGACAGCTGTCGATCTAAGGCAGCTCTGTTGCAGATTATGGTAGGATACCTTCCTTCACGTGGTGCCATTTGAGAGACCATCAACACATCAAGGACTTTAACGACTTACAACTCTCACAATCTCGCTAACACCTTAATTCCTTCTACTCTTGATACTCTTATACCCACAGATTAAGGTTTCAAAAGCTTAGCGTACTCTCATAACAGATGCTTACTGTAACTGCAGGGCAACTACGTGAAGACAAGCAGACTAAGTTATCCTTCCTCTCCGTTCTAATTTTTAATGTCTGCGTCAATCGAATTTTCAGGATTTCCGCGCTTTGGCGATCTTCTACGCACGCAGCCGAAGCGTAAGAGAAGGCATCGAACGATATTTACAGAAGAACAACTCGACCTGCTGGAGGGTACCTTCCAGAAAACGCACTATCCTGATGTTCTCCTCCGAGAAGAATTAGCGATGAAGGTCGAGTTGAAAGAAGAACGCGTCGAGGTGAGTCAACTTCACTCCTAGACAAAATTATGACGGCACAAGTAACGCAGATCTAACTTTAAAGTCCGTAAACGAAATCCTAGGGTATAGCCATTCACAGAAAGCCTCTCCTAATTAATGTACTTTCGCAAGGTACTATTTTATCCTAAGGGTTATAAAAGACGAAGTATTTCGTGCGTTTTGACTTCGGCTTTAATTATCATCACAAGAAACTCTAGGCCCGTGCGTGGTTGTGAAGGCGTTTGTTTAAGCACTGCAAACAGGTTTTATTATTAAATATTGCTCAACCACTTAATCCTCGACTTCAAAAGGTAAAGAGGGTCAGCAAGTTAGTTTTTGTTATCATACAACGACTGCAATTCTTTAGTGAAGTGTTTGAACTTAATAGGTACAAATCGCGGAAAACAGGTCACAAATGCCATTTGAGGCACTCGCCGCCTTAAGCGGAGGAAACCCAAATATGCTCAAGAATATCTATCTAGAACTTGTAAAAAATAACATTAATATCAACAGATCTATATTTTCCCAGTACCGGCGAAGGATAAACATTTATAAATTATTACGATAACTCAGAATAGTTTTCTTTTTCTCTATCTCTCTCTCAAAGAATACTTGCGCAGAGGTTTTGCCCCCCGCCAAACTCAAAATAGTTCAGTTTAATGCCTACACGTTGTCAAATGTATCTCACATTACTCGATTCTATTGCCGGACTCGCTAAAAACACGCCGCGGCCTAATCTTAATAATTGTGGGGTAAATATGATAGCATATCGCTGTCAAACTGCAGAAGATTAATGATTTCAGTTGAACGACACTAGCATCGCGGCCTGTCCAGAGTTTTGAGTGACATGTATGCCCAAGCTTTGCTAAACACGCCCGTTATGGAATAGTTTTCCTACGTGGTACAGCCTTTTCATTTTCAACACGAAAATGTTGGAGTAAAGACGGCTTCAATGGTCTTTAAAATGGCATTTGATAAATAATCAAGGCTTAAGCGAGAGTTGGTGCTTTTCAGTCCAAAAAGTGTTACCTCACACCATCTTGTGAAAACAACCCGCGAGCTGAAGCGTTTGAAGATAACAGGTATTTTTAAGTTATCACGTAAATCATTCTAACATTCTACTAAAATTAGCGTTGTATTTTTCGTGATTTCCCATCAGTTTTAGGAGACCAGCTCTGCCTTTGTAAAAATAGGCCGAAAAGATTTTGAAAGAGAGGACCTGTCGCCACCAAGATGGCGCGCCATTTTGCGTTCGTAGAGTTACACCCTTTCTCGGCGCTAGCCTTGAACATAGACAGTTTCCTAGGACTGTTCGCTAAGGCCCATCGAAGCAATCTTTAATTTCAGAACGCCGTAGAAGGACATTGTGCTTTAAAACAAATCTGAGGTTTGAGATTAACACATTTACAGCATTCGTGGTGTGATAAACGGATTTACACTAGTGGCGACCAGAAGTCTTGAAGAAGTGTGAATTCTCGCGCTTTATAAACCATAGGTATTAAGCATTTAATTTAATCATGAAAAACCATACTTCGTGTTTGGCACTTCAAAGTCAATATGGGACGATGTTTTCGTTAATAAAAAAGAAACACGTTTGTTACGATTTCAACTCCAAAGTTGACCTTAGCAAAGGTGCGTCTCCCTTTTGTCGTTCTAAAACAAAGTTTCGGCAGCTTGTAATGTTGGTCAAAGAAGTTGACATTGCTTAGTTTTTACAAAATTTCTTGCACCTTTTTCCTCAAGGGGAGGTTAATAACTTAAGGCAACAGAAATGTGTTGGTAAACATACGGTTCGGGATAGGCTTTTAACAACGAGTACTGGCTAACTCCTTGCTTGAAATACTCTTTACATGTGTTTCGAACAGTCGTTTTCTATTTCAAAGCCAAAACATTGTTTGTCTGTATTTCTTAAGAAGTGCTCTGATATCAGCAAGAATCATATTTTGACAGTCGCTTTTGTTCCGGTTAAACAATGCCAAGCTTCACTATTCCGACGGAGTTGGCGGCGATGGAAGTCCATAAACCTACGTGCTTCATCTGTGGCTGACATCGCATCAAACAGACAAGGCTTGACCTTCACTTTTATCAAAGCTAAAAATGATGCAGTAGTCTCAATTTGAATTGATTTTCCCTGGAGTGAACTGGCTTTTCAGTAAAGTAAGTGATGTGTAGTTTTTTTTTTAAGAATTAACCATCTTTTTGCAAGTTTCTACGCGTATAGAGTTAGATTCTAAAACGACCGTGTCGTTTTTTGGAATGTACAGTACTTTCTTTCGTTCTACCAAGTTTCTAGTAAAAAGGAAAAATGCCGGAAAGTTTATGTTAAAGAAGCATGAACAGAAACTTTAACGAAAGGATCTAGACCAAATATGTTCAAGAACTAGAAAAAAACAAAACATTTTCGTGGCAACCTCTGGAAATGATGATGTAGGTGAAATTTTTCCAAATGAAACGGGTTATGTATACATATGCCAACATGATCAAACCCAACAGTCACTTTCAAACTAAAAGCTATACATAAAATAAAATAGATGCCGAATAACTTTCGACTCGTTGATTCTCCTTCTAATAGATAAATTTGAATTATTAACTTGAATACAAACTTATTTGGTCAATTTATCCGGACACTATGATTCGCATGGCGCATATTCGTCTACCTATGAATAAAAGCGTGAAGTGTAACCATTCGATTGATGTGCACTCGCCTTTGCCGGAGTGCTTTTCTCTCTTTCTTTTCTCGCCGGGTAAGATTTATTTTCTTTTGTTGAAGTGAAAGGTTTCTCCGTCAGTCCAGCGTCTGTTGTGTATCATGCGAAAGCATCTACAAGTTCACACTACATTAATTATCCACCCATCGACTCGCGTCAAAGACCAGAGACAGGAATCCTCAACTCTCTGGGGCTTCTCTTAAAACAAACTGTGGTTTACTCTTCAAACTTAACAGACACGTACAGAAACTGTATTAACACTTGCATTGGACTGGGTGGATGAATACGAGACTTTGTAACACAATGAACTACAAAAAGGAAGCATTTTTCTGTCTACATATGCACTCGCGTCAAAGACCAGAGACAGGAATCCTCAACTCTCTGGGGCTTCTCTTAAAACAAACTGTGGTTTACTCTTCAAACTTAACAGACACGTACAGAAACTGTATTAACACTTGCATTGGACTGGGTGGATGAATACGAGACTTTGTAACACAACGAACTAAAGGAAAGGAAGCATTTTTCTGTCTACATATGCACTCGCATCAAAGACTAGAGACAGGAATCCTCAACTCTCTGGGGCTCTCTTAAAACAAACTGTGGTTTACTCTTCAAACCTAACAGACACGTACAGAAACTGTATTAACACTTGGATTGGAATGGTTGGATGAATACGAGACTTTGTAACACAACGAACTAAAAAAGGGAAGCATTTTTCTGTCCACATATCCACTCGCGTCAAAGACTAGAGACAGGAAGCAAATCTCTAGGGCTTCTCTTAAAACACATTATGCATGGTTTACACTTCAAACAGACAATGTACAGAAAATGTACTGACATTTGCATTGGATTGGATTAATGAATAAGGAGACTTTGTAACACAACGAGGCAAGTATTTTTCGAAACGATTCACTGAGGTATTCCAAGAAGAGATCAGATATTCATTATGGACGCCTGAGTAATTGTATGTATTCCCTGGGGCTCTCTTGTAAAATTAACGGTATAATTCGCCTGCATTTTACCCGCGTGTCCATTTGCTTGTTGCCTTTGACTAATCGACTTTTATTGTTAAATTTGCTATTACCTTTTCTTGTTACGATGTGTATAGTTCATGAAAGAGGACAAGAATCGTAACTTTTTGCTGTCGCTCGTAGGTTGTTGTTTCAATGCGCATCTTGCGTCATATGATTTAGTTCGCCTTCGCACTCTAAGAACTCGCCAGACTAAAAACTAGACCAGAATTCTAAATTTCATTTTGTAGAATGCTGAAAAACAAATAGTACCCAAGTGAAAGTACTGCCGATGAGGTTTTATATGAATGGTCAAACCACAGGATTTCGTCCACAGATTCAAAAGTTGGAAGTGAAAATGGTTAACTAAAATTGGTCCCTTTCCGTTAAAAATACACTTAATGTGAAGCAGAATTTGTTAAGCCATCACTTCAGCCGCATGACAGTAAAATAATTTCCAACTGACTAAAGAAACAGGCTTTTGACAGGTTTACAGGATAAAGCGACATTTCGTGTAGTTTATAAAATTTAACTTCCTGTATACTCTTCAGTAAGTCTTCAGAATATAAAGGGCGAGTATTTAGCATGGAATGGTTAAACAATATCATAGCAGTACATTGTTTCGTCAGGGGCATGTTCTAGAATTTGAAACGTCTGTAAGACTTTTCCTAAGTTAGACCTCGATCAAAACTGATGGTCGGGTCCGAATTAGCCGAAAAGTTGAAGAATAATTTACAATGATTCAGCTTTCCCTCCCTTTCCCTCTCCTTTCCCTCCGAGCAGAAATTCCTGCCTCCAACTAGTGCATCTATCATAACACTACCCTGTTTCAGGCTACAAGATAGTGATTTGCATAAGTAGATCGTAAAAACTGATGTGAAAAACAGATCACGCTTGTCATATTTTCCCTTGACCCTGTTTTAGCGACGTCCCCACTATCTGGGAGCCTGGCACAGGCTAGTAAAACACAGGAACAGTAAATAAATTTTTCTGTTGTACCGAATAGATAATCTAGGGACAATTTAAATTGCTAATTAATACTGAAATATAGAAGTGAAGTGACACTAGACCGAACTTGTTATACATATCTTTGCTTTTTCCGGAGTGAAACATTGGCATTTTGAGGTCAAAGACTACAATTAGACTCTGTTGGGAGTACACGAGACAGCCTGTGTCACTGACCGAAAAAATATATAATCCGTCTCAACTACGTCAGTTTTTAGAAAATGGCGAAACTGACCAAGTTTTTGGAGGTTTATTAAGTATAACCTTCAACAGAACTAGTTTGATGCAGTGTACCAACCATAAGCTTAATGCTGGGGTTCCAAATCTATTGTTTTATCTCTATGGTTGCGTTATTAGTTTCTAGCTTTCTAATTAAAACAAATCTATCATTGTACACTGATATTTGTCTCCAAGAGTCATAGCCGTAAAAAATCAAAAAAAAAAAAGCTTGCCACTCAGCATAATCGCTATTCCATCTTTGCCGCTCAAGTAAATTAGTAAGTGCCATTTTGAAAACCGACTTATTCTTATGTGTTCCTCTGGCAGGTGTGGTTTAAAAATCGGAGAGCGAAGTGGAGAAAGCAAAAACGCGAGGACCAAGAGGCAAAGAAGAAGAAAACACATGTTTTAACACCAGATGAAAAAACAAGCTCCTTGGAAGTATTACCACAAAGATCCCCAACAACTATTATTGAACATGATATAGACAATTCAAGTGATGAGCTACACCTGAGGAAAACAAGCGAGATAATAAATGAAAGCTATGTAACCCAAGGGTCCTTCACTGAAACACCCAGACTTGAAGCTAAAACAAGAGGGCAACCATTACCTTTTACTGCCAGAACTGAAGAGAGACGTTAGCGAATAGATGATTACTTAATTTTTTCTACTAACAATGTATAAACGGTCATGTTCAAAAATTAGGAAACAAAGTATCAAATTCTATATTTAAGACATGAAGAGAAATTCAGCGCATCTGTTAAACACTTTTAGGACTTAAAGCAGAGGATATAGAGCCACATTGTACAGTATATAGTGAAGAAGAAGTTCATTCGCTTAGTAAAACAGAAATTTGAACAAGTACACATTGCGTTTTCCACACATTTGCAAAAGTTAGCCTAGTTTTGCCTCATAAGATGCACAAGATCATTCGAAAGGTCTCACCATTGGATTTCATCCACAGACTCAAACATTTGAACCACCTTGTACAGCATAATCAACAGTACCACAGGAAAGTACTGCTCAGTTAGCTTTCCTTTGAATGGTCACACCAGTGGTTTCGTCCACAGACTCAAAAGTTTGAACCACCTTGTACAGCATAATAAACAGTACCACAGGAAAGTACTGTTCAGTAGCTTTCACTGAATGGTCACACCACAGGATTTCATCCGCAGTCTCAACAATTAAACCTTCTACAGAATAATTAACAATACCACGGGAAGGTACTGCTCAGTAACTTTTATTTGAATGGTCACACCATAAGATTTCATCCACAGACTCAAAAGTTAGAACTACTTTGTAAAGCATAATTAACAGTGCAACCAGAAAGAAGTGCTCAGTAGCTTTTATTTTATTTACATTTGACAGGATATCTAAAGTTAAGAAACATCTAGTTGAAAGAGTAGGGTGATGTCACTGCATATAACGTGAGACTTCCAACTTATGGTAGCTTTTCCAAGAGAGCTGATCATATAGACAGCTAGTATAATGTATATTTACACTTTGTTTATCATTTTGTTTAGCAAAGATATATTAATATGTCCACAAATTATATTTATTTGTAATTTTTCCATGAAGCTTGTTAGATGATAGTTCTAACAAGAAATTGCTAGATTTATTTCAAAAGTGTTAATTCCAGTAATTACAGAACAAATACATACGCTTCAGATATAAAACTGAATTGTTCTTATTTCATTTTCTCTCTTTCTCATCAGAAGGTACATTCTTATATTACAAATGTTTGTTGCTTAATCTTTCTTTTTCTACATTTTTTTCCTTTTTTCCTTTCTTCTTTTTTTTTACATCATCCTTTGTTGGAAGTCCACCTCTCAGTGTTGCAAGAATGCCAAACTTAAACAAACCTATTACAAGAAGTTTGTTTTTTTTTTCTCCAATCAAAGCTGTAAGGACAGAGTTCACAATAGGATCAGTTAATAAGGACAATATAAAATTCCCCTTGTTAATTAATTCACCCTTAACTCCTCTCTTACTAATACAACACCATTCTCTAGTATTTATTCATATCACCTTTTCTTTTTAAAACATTTTTATCGCCATGCAACACAGGTAATCTTTGGCCCAGTTCACATGGTGGAAAGTCACAGAAGGGACTGCAGTAATAAACTGAGCTTCCTTGACGCAGGCTTTTTCCTATTATCAATCGATGCCAATATTTCTTCCTTTTCATTGGCCAAAAGCCCACCAAGCGACATACAAATAACTGCCTACAAATAATGGTCCGCTCATGCACAATGTCGTCCAAGTGTGTTTGGCTGCAAATACTGTAATTCTTCTATTAAGCCCCCTCGAGGCTTATTTATTTCAAGCCCATTTGAGGTGGGGCTTTATAGAGCCGCAGCCTTATTTAATTTAGAAAAGACGATGGTATCAGTTCTCCATAGAAAACTGAGAATACAAAGTGGAGAAGCTCAAGAACAAGAAGTTAGAGGTCACGCAGCCAAGGCTCGGAATCAGGTCCGAATTTCCAGTTTGTAAATAAACAATCCCGGACCAGTCCACACAAACTTGATTGATTAGTACAGTCTCTCATTCATTAGTGAAGAATAATTAGGGGAGGGGAGGGGTCAACCTCATTCCCAGGGTTCTCTCCTACCCGCCCTACGGAGAGAACCCTGGGAACGAGGTTGGGGAGGGGTGGGCTTAATAGAGGGGGAGCTCTTTAACTTTCTTCCCCTGAAAAGCGGGCGCTTATTAGAGGGAGGGGGCTTATTTGAGACGGGGGGATTAATAGAGGATTTACGATAATATTCTGCTCATCTGTTTTTAGCCCGTAGCACCGAGTGCTACATTTTTACCTGGTGTCTTAAGGCGCGCTTTCTGTTCACTGTTTTCTTAAACGTACGATTTGGACGAGCCGCAAGGCACAAGGCAAACATTACGAAAATTATAATCCGGAAGAATTCCTTCGTTATTTTCACCTACCAGTATAATCTGCTGGGTAGAATGAGATGAAAGCCGAAGACATCAACGCATTAGAATAGAAAACTCTCGTCGGCGTCCGCCATCTTGTTTGTTGTGCTTAGTAGCCGCTCAGAAATGGGCCGCTGACCGACCTCTTTCTACGTCAGTGTCTCTTGGCCAGCAAGCAAAAAACCTCGAAATTACCAGGTAGCAAAAAAGTAAATGAACCCACACATTCTTTGCAAAGGGATCTCTCCGAAACTATTGAGTTGAAATTTTCAAAAAAAAAGGATGCAATGCCGTTAGTTGTTATTTCGATAGCTATCAGATGATAAGTGTATTTGAGTGATGCAAAAATGTAAAGAAAGATTCGCCTATAGAGAAGAAAAAAACATAGCTGGGCGCGGCGCGACGATGACCAAAAGGATCGCAGCTGTGGGAACAAGAATGTATCTTGTCATTGTCAGTCCAGCAGAAGCCTATAGGCTCCTTGTTCCATTGAACTCACATGCACAGATACCCCCCCTCCCACCCCCCGGCTTCAAGGCCTCTAAAAAATTATTATGATGCAGATTTTTTTTATCAGGGCTGAATGTTCAAGTGACCTACAACTTCTCCAGGTAATCGTTTATCCACATGATCCATATGTCTGACCCTTAAACCCTTTGGCTCGATTTACTTTGACAAATACTTCCCGAACAGAATTTCAAAATAGTTACTTCTAGTGCTCGGATTGGCACAAAAAAGTTCGGTTAAGTTGTTCCATTCATTCCAACGGTTGAGATCACCTGTGCGGCTGTGTTTAAAAACAACAACACTGAAACAACCTTGGAAATACAAGTGTCCGAAAGACAAGTACAGGACTGGAAAGAGAGAGGGTTGGTCGAAACATAAATCATTTGGTAGACGGCCGGAACAAAATGAAGTACTTGGTCTGTAATTCTTCAGTAATCCTTTCAAATTTGTAATAAATCCCAGACCTAATATGACCCTGAATTTATACTGCATTGTCGAGCTTTATAAAAAGCTTTGTTTGTATTGAACGCGACTTTTAGCTTTATATAGATACAGTCTATAGACGCAGTTTACTCAAATAAATACAGTTAATCAGAAAGAGGCATGAGGAGGCAACCAGTTAACTGTTTAAAAGCAACAGAAGCCTGACTGGGACCGATCAGCGTGTGTGAGGGCCGGAGCGATCCGCTGACCACTCGGCAACGGTTCCGCAGGCGATGTCACTCAGCCTTCAAACTATTTCAAATAGCTTAGCGGCCTACGGCACAAATTTGGCTGCCTATGCTAATTTATCAGTGCTCATCAGGAAGCGTTTAGATCGTGACCACTGCACTTACGTTTTGTTTACTCAAATAAGTAAATAAGTAAGTTAGATAATAGCAAGTCCTCTTTCTCAAACCCTTCCGACATTTTCCTAGACATTTTCAGGGCAGCTACTGACAGGAGAAGATTAATGATTTGTCTTGGGTTGCAAGTTTTACCGCACAAGGAGTAACGTGACACTAGCTAAAACATTCCCGAAATCTTGGAACCTTGGTAGAACCTTAGCCTTTCTGCCGTTGTTTTATCTGAATTTCGGCAGATTTGTGCCGTTTTTTTTTTCGGTTCTGATTTATGGGAAAGATGCATACCTTTGTTCAACTATTTCTATGAATACACGATAAAGATTGACAAAAATGCTTTCGTCGGCATAAGTAGCTTATAAGAAGATTTGTAACGATAGGCAATAAAAAGGGCAGACGGAGGGCAAAACGATTAAGAGTGTACATGAAATTTGCTCAACAGAATCTGGCACAAGAGGTCAAAAGGAAAAAGTCTGATTACGTGACTTGAAATAAGGCATTTAGCAGGCATTGACTTAACAGGCGTAAACAAAAAAAAAAGTAATCAATTTAATATTTTGTTTTGTCATGTCATTTGGCTAAAGAAAATGAAAGGAATCTCAAGATATGGGCCAAAGAAAATAGTTCGTACCGATCTGTCTATCTAAGTCAAACAGATCGAGGTGGTTTTCTTTCGACCCTTTTAGTTCACAAGATATCTTGTAAGTCACCATTCAAATAAAAGCTAATTTTCACATTATTTATATGCTATACAAGGTCGTTCCAACTTTTCAGACTGTAGATGAAATCCTTTTGAAATGGAGGCTATTGAGCAGAACTTTCCCGTGGTACTGTTTACTATATGTCGTAAAAAGTGGTTCGAATTTTTGTATGTTTTATTTCTGTCAAGATAAATAAACTGCCTAAATACAATATACATAGAAGAATACGCGAAAATGTGACCCTCAGACATCGAGTAGCCAGTGGGATGAGGACCGGAAGGAGGCACAATACAAAGGAATAATTATGTTTGTTTTCTCTTAGTCTTGCACGTGTCTACTTAAACGGTGCTGGTTCTTGTTAGGTGTGGTTCTAACTTTGTCTACTCCCTAGGCCTCATTATTGCGCTCGGCCGATGCGTTTCGTGTCACGTGGTCTGAGCGTTTGTCTCGGATACGTCACCGAAAAATGCATTGACCGAGAGGGCCTAGAAAGACGCCGTACAGGAACGAGGCAAGTTCTAACTTTTTTACGCAGTATATATACATAACAAAATCCGATTGTGCGATCATCGAAGTGAAACCCCCTGGCAATACATTTGCAAAATACTGTTTTTCTTTTCTATTATTGCAAAAGCGTTGTCATATATTTAAAAAAATGAGAAAAAAAAACAGAAAAGAAAATGTAAAAAAAAGCCAAATAGCAACAGGGGCCCATAACCCGGAGCGTTCAACTGCCATAAACTCGTGCAACGGCGTTTTTACAAGTGAGTTTATTTTTAGATAAGTTTTTCCCGTGAAAAATAACTGTTCCACGAGGTCAATTCCTGCATTTAATCGTCGTTTAGACTGTTAGTAGCTCGCTTGGACCTTTTCACAGTCGGCTATTTCGAAGATGATTTCGATTTAATTCCCCTTGCGTGTATTATGCGTTGTCATCGATGAAGTAGACGTCCTGACTAGGTTTTGCAAATCTTCTTCTGAACTGCTAGTTTCCGTGAAAATACTGAAACTGTCGTTTGAAGTACTGTCAGAAGACTCCTCTGAAGATTCCTCACGTGTGTCCACTATGTTTTTTTCAATGTGAAGGAGTTGTCCTAGTTACGTATTAAGAGTTTATCATTGGCGCAATTGCTAGTGATTGGCTTTTCGAAAGCAATTCGCGGGAAAAGCTTATCTAAAAATAAACCTACTTGTGAAAACGCCGTTGCATAGGCGCAGTATGGAAGTTACACGCTCCGGGTTATGGGCTCCTGATAGCAATTAATTCACTTACTAATAAACCACCCTCGGGTTCACCAATTTGCAACACAAGCGTACAGCCATTGCATTTATGCCTTGAAAACACCTACAAATGAATGAATCTTAGAGTAGTTTATACTCTTTGTTTTTTTCCGTTTTCCCTCAGTTAGCATTTTTTCTAAGACAACGTTATCTGATTGCAATTAGGTCGGTATCTATTTTCACTATTTTAATTAATGAGATTTGGGTGGAGCTGTTCGGCCAAGTCCTTCATTGAGACAAAAATTTTTCATTTCGCCTCTCTGTTTTTAACACAAGATACCTTATTTCATTATCTTGATCCATGTTGCAAGATACCTGATATAAGCTTTGCAGATATATTTTCAATTTACATATTTTTGCTGATCAGATCTTCTGTAGATGACGATGATGATGAAAGTGAATATATTTATAGTGCTCAGTACACTGTACCCTGGGTGCCACAGACTTTTCTAGCGCGTTTCCGGTTTCCGGTTATAGTGATCCCGCGCGGCCTTCGAAAATTTCCGCCGCACGCGAGAAAAACCTCTGGTACCCAGGGTAAGTATACTGAGACCCCGTCCACATGTATCCGGACATTTTTGAATCTGCACCTTTTTTCCGGATTCAAAAATTTCCACGTGCACACGTATCCGTTTTCAAATCGTATTTGCCCGTCCACACGTATCCGACACGTATCGGTATTCACTCTAGTACCCAGGACTCCTCTGGGAATATTGGCAAACAGAGCAGGCGTCGTAAAGCGCCTGAAGTTTGCATCTTGCTCTACCTTGTGTTATATATGCTTCTCGATTTTATCGCTAGAATTATGGCAGCATCCGCTCGGAAATCAAACAAAAATGCAAAGAGTAAGGAAGAAACAGCTGTCTTGACGGCTACGACCCCTCTCTGTTTTTGGTTCTTTCGGTGTCGTGTTGATGTCTTGCAAAGTTAATTTTCACGTAGTACGATCAGCTTTGCAGAATTAAGTGTGTCTACGCAGTGTATAATTTTGCTGGTCAGGTCTTTTAGAGATCCTACGTTTTTCGGCAAATTCGTTTGAGGTCGTTTGCAGTTTCAATGTCTATTTAAAGAGTAAGGTTGACTCCATCATCTGGACGGATGATGAAGTTGAACTTACGGTATTCACGGCAAAGAACTAGGCTCGATGGATAAAAATAATATCCGCATTTAGCGTCCACACGAATCTGGATTCATAGCGTATTCAAAAATTTCTACTCCGGAGAGCGGAATCAAAAAGTTGCAGATTCGTATGTCGGATTCACTGGATACTTCTAGATGGAAGCCGTATCAGGAAAGAAAAAGTTGCGAGACAAAAATATCTCGGTTCTTTCTTTCATTAAAAAAAAATGTTGTCTACCCTGAATCGGGTAAAAGCAGGCCGTGGGGATACACTTATCTTCAGGAGCACGGTATTTGAGAGAATGAACTCTGCTTTTCTTTTAAATAGGTGTGAGTCTACAAATATTGAGGCTTTCATTGAAAAAAATTGCCGGCAATAAAAGCCTTGGATAGAAGTCTTTCCTCCTTAGTTGCGTAATGACTAAATTTAGAGTGAAATTAAGTTGAGAGATGTAAGAAAATGCAAAATAAAATTTCAAGCAAACTGAAATGCAAATTTGTCATCTTTTCTTATCATAATACTGCAATAAGTGGAACTCTCAAAAAGCCTGAAATATCGGCAGCTACTGTTAACTTTCCATTGTAATCCTATATTCTTTCATGTTGAGCCACACTACATATAAGGCCATCTTTGAGGATACTATTATAAGGTGGAATAACATGCATGTGGACTTGGAACGTTGTTACTCCCAAAAGATCCTTAGGGCTTCAATGGGAAATAAAAAAATTCCTGGACCAACCGTTGACGCCTACGGCCGGTACGCGTGATTTGATTACCAACCATTGTTTCAACGTCGAAAGACGTTAATGCAGTGTTGTTTTACGTATAAGTGGATAATTTATTTTTTCTATTAAAGATTTACGCAAAAAAAAGGTGCATTTCGTTGAAAGGATCAAAACGTAATAAGTGCCTCCTTGTTTAACGCCCTCTTTCAAATAAGAGCCCATCCGTTAAGACGAAAGCCAGTTAAAAAAAGAGCCCGGACGGTTATTGGAGGAAATGTGGTAAATGTTTATATTTATTTTGGGGGAATTTTATGCCTTTTTTCGTGCTTCATGTCCGAGTCACTAAGAGTATGTTAATTCACCTTTTCTTTGAAGACTAATATATATCTCTGATCTTGATAACTATAATGATAAAGTTGATATCTGATTCCTTTACTCTGCTGAACAATATAAACACATCTTAAAAAGCCATGCTACGAGTCATGAAAACTCACTTCAAACCATTTCAGTTTGGAGTTCTATTTGCAAGGTGAGTAATCAACCTGTAATCTGTAACCAACCATCCCTCTTAAGACATTTAAGAAACCATTCTTGCCGTAAAGTTAAGACCGTGACTAGTTAATTAAACTTTTTAAAGTGCTGGGAAAAGTTTTTATGCTTGAAGTGTTCCCAACTTTGGCAAGAAACTAAAAAAAATTTCTTAGGTTCATGAGTTTTTAATCCCCTGAAAGTTTGAATTCTCCTGAAAGCGATGTTTGTTTCAGGTAGATACTTAACAATTTCAGGAAGAAAAAGCAATCGACACACGACAACGGCAAAGTTTAGAAAAATGAAGTACGAAAACGCTTGATGCTTGTAATTGCTAGACATTAGGGGCTAGTCGACTTTAATTTTGACAAAAGACTCACGGTCAGCGTCGCAGTTGCTTAAACATAAGGTTACAAAACTTTATATATGATTTGACACGTTTAGCTTCATCTTCCCAGCACACAATCGAGGAAGGCAACAACATTTAAAAATTAATTTCAAGTCATAATAATAATGATGCTAATAATAATAATAATAATAATAATAATAATAATAATAGTAATAATAATAATAATGTACAAAATAGACACACCTAAAAAGTACTTCAAAGCTTCAGTTTCTTGTGGATCCGTGCCAAAGAATGATGTATATGGGCTTCTCGAACCTAGAGTGTACCTTGAATAACTTAATGTTGTAAACGGGCCAAAAAACCTCCGACTTGTTCAAGTTCCAAAACTCTTGAAGAGCATTGCAGCATTTTCATGCCATGGTAAATGTGACACTTCACATTGGCATGCAAAGGATAGTAACCAGGGGCGGATCTAGGGGGAGGGTGCAGGGGGTGCGCACCCCCAGACCTGCGGTTTTCTAATACAACTGGTATTCTGCGAAAAAAAAACTATGCGGTTTATTGGTGTTGAAGTAGATAAGAGACGAGTGCACCCCCTCCTAAAAAAAATCCAGGATCCGCCCCTGGTAACCAAATAAAAATTTATCAGATGGATAGTGTGAAATAACCACATTTTGTTATTCATGGAGCTCATCTAGAGTTTGGGAGCGCGTTTGACTCGACAGTGGAGGGCTTAGTCTTTTTATTTATTTGGTAACTTAACTGGTTTCCATATCAAACAGTAATTCCGTTTTTCTCTTGTTAGTTTACGTTGACGGACCATCTCAAAATGAATCGTCCAATAGTTGCCGCATTTTTGGTGTCCTTTGCGTGTTCGATTTTGACTGTAAGTAAAAAATATGGTTACTGAAACATAGCATTTAAGATGAGAACTCTTGTAAAATTTTCTATATAAACTGTTGAATTTATCGAAGTTTTAGAGATGAATTTATTCTTATTTCAGGATCAAGTGTGGTCAGCTCGTTTAAACGGACAAGGTAGGCTTTTTGTATTCGATTTAGTCAAGAAAAAAACAAATTAGGTCACTTCGGAGTTGCCCCAGGTCTCTGTGTCAAGGCTAAGTGCAAAGCCATTAATATGAAAATGATCTTTTACTCTCATGCAAATAAAACTAAGTAAGAAAGGTTTTGCTCGTAGCCTCAGTTTCAAAAAGAGGGGTTTTGAACTCGGAAATTGCCTATTTCTTTTAGGTGCTTAAAGGGGCTGTGTCACGGCAGTCCAGTTCATTTTGTTTAATTTTGTCAGTTACTCGCCCTCAATCGCTATGGAACTTAAAGTAAGCAAATAAAAGAAATTACTTGTAAATGACACAAGCAGAGATTCGAGACAAAAAAATATGTCTCCTGAGCATTATTTTTGAAGTTGCAAAGAGTAGAGATCAACTTTGAAAAACTGTTAGGCTGAACAGTTTTCAAAAACCCTAATTTCAGTCCGTTGCAATCGTCTTCAGTTTTGCCCATCCGAGGCAGCTGTTGTATCTGTTGTGTTAATTTAACCTTCCTTTAATGTTTTAAGCGGTTATTTTTACGTTTCTCTTAATTTAACGGGCATTTTGTAATTACCTAATTTGGCTGAATTTCGTGACACAGCTCCTTTAATATGAAAATGATTTTTTACTCTCATGCAAATAAAACTAAGTAAGAAAGGTTGTGCTCGTAGCCTCAGTTTCAAAAAGAGGGATTTTAAACTCGGAAGTGACCTATTTCTTTTAGGTGTTTAATTTGTCTAAATTTTATTTTAATTTAGTGCCCTCGCCACACCTATTGGTACAAACATTCTTTCAGACATAGAAAGCGCTAACGCAGCGCTCCGCTGTTGTTGGTCCTTGTAATTTTTCATCAAAAGCAGCTGTCACTCTGGATGTTAAACATAATTTTCTTCCCGTACCATTAAATGTCAGAAATACAAGCTGAGAGAAAAATAGTGCATGAACGATATTTATATGCTGCTTAAAATTGGAGTGAGGTCAAAGAAACAACATAAAGTTTAGCCATACTTCTCCTATAGTAGCGGAACACTTCAGGATGAAATCGATATCTCTAGTATTCAAACTGTGGCCAAGTATAGTAAAATTCGTGTCATTTTCTGAAAATATATAAACTAAAAGAAGTAAATAGAGGGAAATTGTTCAAATTATGAACAGATTTCTTGTATTTTCTCGTAGAACTTAGGGAAAAACGGTTCTCCTACGACAGCATAGCAGAGACTTTGTATAAAAACACCATACGCCACTTCCACATTTCCCATAATGCACCTTATTTATAAATTTTCTCTCCAAAATTTGGCATAACCTTTGTTTTTTAATTCTCCTGGGTATTACAGCCGTCGCATAAGAAAATGAAAACAATTCTTATGCAAAATTTTTGTGGGCAAACAAGGTGCATTATGGAAATGTGGAAATGGCGAATTAATTATGTTACAGCACAAGAAAAACCTGGTTTGTGTCCCAAGCCCCGACCCGGTCAGGTTGGTCCCTGTGTTGAGGCCTGCTCTGGGGATGGCGATTGTAAAGGTGCCGCAAAATGCTGCTCTAATGGCTGTGGGCATGTTTGCATGAAACCACTGGGTATGTACCTTAACTATCAACATCCCTACTCTGATGTTAGGCGTTGCACGGTTGTTATACGCATGCGCAATCTTCTTGCCTGTTGACTCTTAATCTTTCTTTATTGTGTATTATGGGCGTTACTACTGTGCAAAACTGGCAGGTTTGTTCTTGTTTAAAGTGACACCAATAGTATGAACCTGCATAATTAGTATTTCATGGAAAAAAAATCGATAATGATAATGATAACAATAATGATGATGATGATAATGATGAAAACCGTTCCGCTAACACGGAATAGTAGAAAATCAGCATAAAAATAATATTAAAATTTCCTGCAACGGAAGGGAAACCTGAGTTTTGTCCCAAACCCAAACCTGACCAGATTGGCATCTGCGTTGACGCCTGACAAGGAGATGACGATTGTGCAGGTTCCGAAAAATGCTGGTCTAATGGATGCGGGGACGTTTCCATGAAACCACTCGATATGCATGGTTTTCCCATATTTAGGCTTTGCTAGTATGAGTATGCGGAAGCAATCCCCTTGTCTGTTCACTGCTAAATTTTGCTACACACCGTGTAGAATTGCTTGCTGTGAAATTTAGCTGGAGTTCGAGGAGTTATAGTTGCTAGTTTTGACCGAACAATGGAAACGAGCTTTACGCGACAGGAGTAGCTCTGTCAGTAGAGCGCTTGACTACAGAGCGGGAGGTCGCTGGTTCGATCCCTTTGGCCCGACCCATACTCAGATATACTGAGATATGAAGGTAGTGCCTTTGCCAAATTGCCCTGTAAACGGCTGGACCCTTCGGATGACCACGTGAAATGCCAGTGCCGTCTTCAGTAGGAGACGCCAAAAAAGTGTCCCAAATTAGTACTTTCGTACTAAATACATTGACACTCAAATAAAGTGCTTATATTATATATTTCTTCGACAAGAGGGAGGGTTAATTCTAAGAAAATTGCAAGGTAAGGGTAAACAGAATCCTGTTGAGTGTATATCATTTCTTCGCTCGTCCATTTTTCTCACGTTTAATCAATCGTTCGTATGTTTGGCTTTTATATCATTCACGGCAGTCAATCTGGATGCTGTGGAGAAACGAGAGCCTGGTGGGGTCCTTACTTCTGATCGCTGCCCCAAGCCCGGCCGTTTTGGCCTCTGTGCTGAGCTTTGCGGTGTAGGTGGTGGATGCTCAGGAGGAAAAATATGCTGCTCTAACGGGTGCGGTCACCAGTGCATGTCTCTCTGCCCCAAGCCCGGCCCTTTTGGCCTCTGTGCTGAGCTTTGCGGTGTACGTGGTGGATGCTCAGGAGGAAAAATATGCTGCTTTAACGGGTGCGGTCACCAATGCATGTCTCCTGGTAAGTACTGAATCTGCTTCTCCTTAACCCTTTAATGAAAACATTGACCAGCATTGAATATCTCCCCATAACAGTTATTTACTACTTTGGAACCCTGTTCTATCCTCTTCTTTTGATGCGTACAGACACCCAGATAATATGGACAGCATGTATGTCTCCTTCGTGTCCGTATTTGTCCACTGTAGTTAATTGAACAAAAGGGTCGCGAGTTTGGTCATTGGTCCCATAAAATTGTGCGAAAAATATGCATTTTGTTTTTGTTGAGTTGTACATCGGTGGATGAGTTTTAATTGTCAAGAGTGAGATTTCCTCAAATAATTTTATTCAAGATCGTAGTTAAACAATGATGACGACGTGATTGTCATATCATGATCACAATGAATATGATACGATGATAACTGGACCAATGACCACAATAATAACTATGAATTAATATAATTATAAAGGTATATGATGATGGTGGTGGTGATGACGATGATGTTGAAGATGTTGATGATGATGATGATGATGATGATGATGATGATGATGATGATGATGATGATGATGATGATGATGATGATGGTGATAGTGATGAAGGAGACGTTAGTGGTGGCAATTAAGACGATTATCCAGGGAAAGCCCAAGTAGCTCAGGCTTTTAAACACTCCGTATTGAACATTAAAGGTCCGCGCGTAAGAACCTACATTTTTTCAAGTTTGGCGAAAAGGTTCTTGGATTTTTTGGTAGCTACCTCCTGTTTAGGCTAAGTTGGTTCTTGGTTAGAAGATTGTGACAGAATGTACTCTTCTTTTCACTTTTGCTATGTATGTTTTTACCAATCAGATTAACATTTAGGGACAGAGGACACTCTTTTGTTACCAATATTGAGACGCATAGTTGACAGAATGTGCTCTTCTATTCTTTTATATAGCGCTACGCTAGCCTCCTCAACGAAGACATTGGTCAAGTTAATTTCCACCAATAAAGGCCTTGGATACCGTTGCATAACGGTTACATTGATTTTAAAGTTAAAGTTAAAGAATAAATTTAAAGTAAATCCATGTAAGAAAAATAAATGCAGTATAAAAATAAAGTCAAGATGAAATACAACTCCTTTTTCCTATTTTTTCTTGATTAATCACACTCTCTCAACTTATTCTTTATGGAAATGTATGGAGATCAGTCTGCAGAATTTGTACGTGGATATTAGGGCTAAGACGGTTGACAAGAAATAACACTCACAGTTCGGTTCGGCAAACATAAGGCTAAAACGCACTATTATTCATTCAAAACATTTTGCCGTTTCTTGTTAGCTTTATTCCCCGGCCGGCTAATTCGGATTCACACAATGAAAGAAGTAGGTTGAAGGTTTAATTCTCGAATTAAATTCGGCACATGTGAAATTCGACGTTTGAACTGGGCCTTATTATGCATTGCAACTTTTGTTGTACCAGGTCTAATTGTTACGCCCACTTGCTCTCAATATTCACTAGTCTCCATGTTGCCGTGGAAAGTGTGCGTGTTCCAAAAATTAGTAGTGAAAGAATCTTTTCGGTAAAGTCACTAGTTTTGACAAAGTAAAACAACCTTTACCCCGACTAGAGAGAATAAAAGTACGTTGCTTCTCTTGACCGAGTGGTTTAAGGGATTAAAAAGATGCAGCTCAAGACAATAACAATTCCGTTGTCTTCTTAATGAGCGTAGAAGTTTCAAATCTCCAGGTGCCGGAGAAGGCAGGTATGACTTGGGTGCCAGGGGGTACCGGGGATACCGGGGATACCGGAGATGACGGGTGTGCCGGGTCCGGATCCTCGTGCCAAAGGATTAAAACACCTAGGGGAAATAAACAATGTACTTTCCAAGCTCGGAGAGAGGAGGTTACAATTTATCCCGATGTCTTATTATTTTAAAACTCTACATCGATTTTTACCAAAACGAAAAACAATTATGTCACACAGATTTGTCTTTATCCTCAATTGGAAAGCAAACTGCGAAAATAACCTGAAAGATATCCCTGTTGAGGATAGGCATGTCGCGATTGCGCTGGAAAATTCGCCAAAAAGTGCTCAAAACGTGGCAAAAAAGTGCTCAAATAGAGCTCGAAGTTTTGAAAAAAGTGCTTGAAATTTAGAAATAGTGCTCGAAAGTTGCTCGTAGTTTTTATTTGTTTCCAAGCAGATGTTCATAAATATTCTTAGTTTTATCAAGTTTAACTCTCGATTTTCTAATAGCTGACCAAAGAAGTGAAACACCAATGTTTTTCTAATAAAACTCTTTATTAAGATATAACCCAAGATCTACTCAGTCAAGGTCTTCAACCGTTAAGTCAGCATAGTTTTTAAGAGCGACTGTCTGTAAATATCGACCAAAATCGTCTTTTTGTGGCACAAGTTGAAAATTCGAATTTCGCTCATTTTTGGCTCATCGATAACCCTTAACGAGTAATGAAACATGCCGTAGTTAGTTTTCCCAAATAACGTATTCTTTTGTTAAAATTCGAGGAAACTCATTTTGCCCGTTCGGAGCTCAAAATCCACCTCCGGTAAAGCGAAATTTTACACAAATTTCATTGACTCGTACATCAAACTACAAAGATTTGGCGGCCTTTGAAGAACACGAATAGTTTTAATGACCCTTTCTTTCTCATAAGACGATAAATTTGTGAAAGCTGTAATAAGTTTGTGGCCAAAAAGGTATCGTTAAAAATTGGCCCTATTGACAATTTCACCGGTTCAAAATTATAGGGTTAAAATAATGTAAATTTTTACAATGCGCTATAACTTAGAATTTCGCAAATTGACTTTCTACGGTTAACTAGGCCCAAATATATCAGAAAATCGAAACAAATCTTTGGGCAAACGATTTTAAGTAGCCCGCAAGACGCCCAGTTCAACCCTAGTTTTGCGAAAAATCGCGACATTCCAGTGGTTGAAAATAGCGTGACACGGCCCGTCACGCCAGCGGTGTTAACGACAGATTCACTTTCAACATTCTATTCAACACTGATCACATGCCGAATTCCAGCATACAATCTATATTACATCTTTCAATAACCTTATCTTATTTAAAAGAGTCATTTTGTTTATTGGATACAATATATAGTGTAGAATTGCCTAAAAGTCGGCTTTTTTGAGCAACGTCGGCAAGACGTCGACGACCTAGCCCAACGAAAACAAACTTTGAACAAGTACAGTGGTGTGTTTCATTAATTTAAGCATCCGTCAAAAGGCATAGATACGTTAAATTTAAGACAGGGATAACCAATATTAACTAATTCGAACAATGTTTTTTTCTTGCGAGTTTTCTCTTTCAAGTAATTATGTATAAGTATAAATGTACGTTTGGATGTATTACTATCACGCTTATAAAGGTACATTGTAACGAACGTTTCAGAAAACGTTTTAACTCGTTTCGATCGACGATGAAACGCCATCATCAAAAACAAATCACCAGAAACTTTCCTCTACAGCAAAACAGAAAATAGAGAAAAAAGTGGCGTTTTACTAATGCTAAAGCAGGAATAGTTGCAGCGTGATCATGAGCTTTTAAAAATGGCAAATGCTCCTAAAGGGACATCTGCCCTTGCTACGATCTACTATGCACTTAACAAGGCCCCTTAAGGGTCTTAAGCTTACTTAAGATATATGACGCATATTCTGGGATACACTCGCCTCTCACCGCTCTTTGACGAAATGTTCCTAGCGGCAGATAGCGATGAGAGGAAGCTGTATCGCAGGCTTTTGGACACACGGATTTTCTACTATTTACATGGGTAAACCGGTCGCTCCACGGTTTGGGCAAATGGTGAGGAGAATTCAGGACTGATTAATTTTGATTCCGTTCGGTAATCGCGTTTACCGTTTGCCTAAGTCAGTTTCGTTTAATGAAAAACGGCGGCGAAAACCTGAAACTGATATTCACAAAAGGTTTGAAGACATGAAATCCGAACTTCCGCCTGAAAGTTTCCAACCAGGAAGACCAGGAAAATAGGCGAACGCCTTTTCAGACGTTCCATTTGTTTCAGGAACTTTCCACTGAAACGTCGAAGGGAACCCGAAACTGAGTTAATGGTAAGCCTAGCAAAGCACAAAGTGTCCTCTTAGTTTGTTTTAATGGGTCATGTATATAGTCATGCAGGAGCTTCATGATTCATACACGTTGTCATACAAGTATATCGGCTCCTCTTTGGCATCCACCTAACTTTTTTTTCAGTTTTGAGAGCCCGCAAGGGTAAAAACGTCGAAGAGAACTATTGCACCAATACTTAGTCTAAAATATTTTTATTCTTTAAAATTGCTTCAAGGAAATTAGTTTTTATAAACCAAATGGCATTGATTGGCGATGATTTAATTCGTAAAAAATTCATTCAGTAATCAGTTTTAGTTTTTAGATTTTGTTCTGTTTATATACCATTTTTTGAGGGAAATCGCCAGTCTGAAACTGAACATGAAAGTGTGTGACGCTATCCCAGGGACCCTATATGTTGTATCTGAAGAAAATGCTGCAATCAATGAGAATCATAGGTTTACTGAACGATTTAATTTCGAATTGGCTTTTAATCTGCCTTTAACTGAATTGTTTAAAGCATATCTATAGGCAACACTGGCGTGACGGGCCGTGTCACGCTATTTTTAACTACTGCAATGTCGCGTTTTTTTTTTGCAAAATTAGGGTTGAACTCAACGTCTTGCGGGCTACTTAAAATCGTTTGCCCAGAGATTTGTCTCGATTTTCTGATAGATTGGGGCCTAGTTAAGCAGTAGAAAGTCAATTTTCGGAATTTCAAGTTATAGCGCATTGTAAAAATATGCATTTTTTTATCCGTATAATTTTGAACGGTAGAAATGGTCAATAGGGCCTATTTTTAACAAACCTTTTTGGCCACAAAATTATTACAGCTTTCACAAATTTATCGAATTATAAGAAAGAAAGGGTCATAAAAACTATTCGTGTTTTTCAAAGGCTGCCAAATCGTTGTGGTTTTACGTACGAGTCAATGGAATTCGTGTAAAATCTCGCTTTACCGGAAGTGGATTTTGAGCTCTGAACGGGCAAAATGCGTTTTCTCGAATTTTAACAAAAGAACACGTTATTTGGGAAAACTAACTACAGCATGTTTCATTACTCATTAAGGGTTATCGATGAGCCAAATATGAGCGAAATCAAATTTTGAACTTGTGCCAACCGTGGGTCGATATTTACGGAAAGCCGCTCTTAAAGGACTCCCAAAGCAGCACACTGAGAACCGTATGGACTTCAACGGCTTACTGAAAACGTTTCGAAGAGAAAATATTGCATTAAATATTGTGGAAAACTGTAAAAAAAAAGGTGCTTCAATGTTACCCAAAAAGCGAAAAGCCGGATCTTTGTGCAGATCAGGATGAGCACTGATATAGAAAAGCTAAGCAAAGCTAAGTCCCTGATGAAAACTAGTTTTGTCTACTCGAAATATTGGGTAAAATGTAATCCTTACCTGTCCGATCATCCTTGCCTTCAATTTTAAGTAAAATAACGGTACTTATGTTTGCATAGTAGCACTAATCGTTCATGTTGAGTCACCAAGCCTAACTTCTCGTGCCCACTCTGTCTTATTTGGCGAGGGAGATCTGGGAACCAGATAACCAAAGGCCATCTCAAAAGCTTATAAGGTCCCAGTGTTTTTTTCCACCTTAGCTTCGCTCACCCCACCGCTTCCACCATGATTTGATCACGTGCTTTTGCCGTGATCCCGAGCTGGTGCAATGGCTGAATCGCTACGATGGGTATATTTAACAATTATTCCACGAGGGCGCGTTGGATATGAGATGATAGATAGCCAACGAGGCGCATAGCGCCGAGTTGGCTATAATCATTTCATATCCAACAAGCCCGAGTGGAATAATTGTTTTATTAAAAACGCCCACAAAATCTCGTTGAATCGCCCCGACTAGAACAAACCGGAAAAGACAAGGGACTTCCGCTATTGACATGTCAGACGTCTATCAAAACTGTCAACGCGCGAACGGACTCGCCTAGACTGCATGAATGAAAAATCAAAACATTCTGCGATGAACATTAGTTTTTTAAAAACTCATCGTGATTCTAGGATTTTACACAGCAGAACAGCTTAAAAAACCTGGCAGATAATGTGAAGGAAAGGAATTTTTAAGTGACAGCCGTCGAAATTACTATGAATTTGTATTTTCGGTGCAGTTATGAAAGTAAGAACAACGGAGAAAAACTACCGGTATTACCTCGGTCGCTTATGAAGTTGTTTGAAGCCACAAGCTGGTTTTGCTGAACGAGAAAAGAAGCTATACTGCCGCCTCGATTGCTCTAGTGAATGGCTGCATAGCCTGTATTTGTAGCTGGTTACTTGTGATTTATATTCTTGATGTCGGATAAACAAGCTGCAGTTATCTATCGGCGAGTGACTCGATCGGCGAATGGCTTCGCGATCGTGAAGAAACAGCACTTGTCTTCTCTCGTAGCTGGTCAAGGTACTTTAGTTCCATGTGTTTTCATGTGTTTTTCGACAAACTTTCAAACAAGCTCTTGCGGCTTTTTTGTTTGTTTTTGTCTTTTTTCTTTCGCTGAAATTGCATTTCTAGTATTCTAAGACATGAATTAAAACGATTTGCTTCGGGCGCCGTTCTATCCTTCGCGAAAAAAATTCTCAGCTAGCTTCCAATTTTAAACTGACGCATACACCGACCATATATGGAGAACATGGTATATTAGCTCATATACCATAACGGCTAAGCCAATCAAAATGCTAGAATTGCATTATCCAATGATTCAGTTTTTAATAATTAAATTTAGTCAAGGCTCCGTGGACCAAGAATCAACCAATGAGAGTCCCTTTTTAGTTGAGTGAAAGACTAGGAATATAACAATAACTTTTGTGATGCCCGCAGTAAGTCTTTCGTAGCAACCGCCACAAAGTACAAATGAAAGAGGAACCTTGTCCCTGATGTTGATTAAGCCCTGGGGACGAGATTGAGCGTATCCACGTATTTCGTTGCCATCGTAAAAACAGTGCAGAATGATAGGCGTCATACAAAGAGCTTCTTAGGTTTGTTCAGGTTGTTTTCGACAAAAGTAAACATTTCAAAATCAAAATCATTTATCTATTGTATTTTTTCCGTTAACACTTCGTGGTTCACGCACGGAGTCTCAAATGCAATACCTTAATTCATGACTTCAGTGAAGACTATATAGTCTCTTTATAATTAATTACAAACTGCAGTTGATAACCCCTTTGACCATCTCAGCATAAAACTTAAAGTTACAAACTTGATCAACATCAAGGACTTCGTAGTTCACGACGTCGCAAATGCAATGCGTTAATTCATGATATGATTTCAGTGAAGACTATATAATGTTTTAATTAATTAATAGCAAACTGCAGATGAAGACGCCTTTGGCCATCTTAGCCTCCAAACGTGACTAACATCAAGAGACTTCTAGCAGTTATACACAACAAATAGAGTTCTAAAGTGTGACGTCATAAAAAATTAAATTTGTGAAATTATGAGATTTTTCGGGACATTCTGAGAGAACAACATCCAAGAGGCTGACTACCACCTACTTGCCAAAAACTAGCATTGTGGGGCAAATTGCTTCTGAGATATTAGCCCCTTTCTGCTCTGATGACTCCATATAAATCCTTCTTAATTTGACTCAGGTCATAACGTTATGACCCAAGTAAAATTTAGAAGGATTTACATGGAGTCGTCAGAGCATAACTCGGCTAATATCTCAGAGACAATTTGCCCCGAAATGCTCAGGTCTGGCACGTAGGCCTCTTGGACGTTGTTCTTTCAGAATATCCTGACAAATCCCAGAATATTATTTCACAAATTTAATTTTATAACGTCATCACTTTAGACCTCTCTTGGACAGAATCAAGAGAGAAGGTTACGAGAATTAATAACATAGTCACCAAAGGCCAAATGATATTCTTTCAACCAATTCTTTAAGGAAGTAAGATAAATTAAAGTGGTACACGATGGCCAACTGCATAAAAATCAAACAATTAATCTAATAAATGAAATAAAAATAAAGCTTTTCACGGTTAAACCAAAATCAAAAAGGTTATTGAAAATCTTCTTTTTAATACTGAGTTTGCGTGTTTAATTTTTATAGACATTTTCCTTTCATCTGTCACTATATTGTTGCTTTCATTAAATTAGTTGCTTATCTTACTTTTAAATGAACTTGTCGTTGCTTCGTAGTTAGTGATTACTTCTAAAGTTATATATCCAAGTAAAAGTTAGGTTTTTGCATCAAAGCGATTCTAATTTCCTTTCGTTAACTACCTAACGCAGTTTGCATGTAAACTTTATATAAATTAATCATTCTATTTTCTATTACCTTTCAAATGATCTAGATTGTAGAGTTTTAATGATATTTCAGTAACACAGCTGTATTTACTGAACATTGGACACAATCGTAAAAGTCATTTTAGCAGTGCAAATCTCATTTGAATTCGAAGTCTTGAGTTTGGCAAAGGTAAGTCAGGACTTCCCTTGTTTTCCACAGTTTTGGTTTTGGTTGCAATGGGAGTCCAGTATTTCATGTATTTAAAAAATTTAGCTGCCAACAATTTTTTTTGCTTGAGTTTTTGCTCAAATTACTAGCGGGGAAGATAACTTAGCTTCTCTACGCCAAGTTTCGAATTTTCTTAAAAATTGCGGCATTTTCTAAAGCAAAGTCGTAAGACTGTTATATGTTTTCGAAATATGCTGTAAATTCATTTGTGTTGCTGTTATCACATTCCGATAAAAAGAACATACAATTAATGGGAAAAACTTACCAGAATAGATAAATAGATAATTGATAAGCTTGGTGCTTGCAATGTTTTGTTTTCAAAGGTGCCTATCGAGATTCAAAAAACATCATACTCTGAATGAGCTTGTAGAGACTATTATTTCCTTTCAAGTGACACTGCTAAAGTTAAAAAGCACTTCTAGAAATTATAAACACTTCCAAGTTTCTGTCATCAATGGCACTCCATTCCATTCGAGGGATAGCAGGTAACATTTCGTTGCACTAAGTTGTGGGTATGGAAAAACTCAAATAGGTTAGGAGTTATAGTTACTGACTGAGGTTATTATATTGGTTATCAGAGGACGGCTTATGTTGTCTGTATATATGTTATATTAATTTGGTGGTTTCTTAATTGGGTACTGTATTTTCTTTGTTTAGGTTGACTGACCATTTCAAAATGAATCGCGCAATTATTGCTGTATTTTTGGTGTTCATTGTGTGTTCCATCTTAACCGTGAGTAAATGAGTCTCAGGCAACTGCCGACATTTTGAGATGCTACAAACTAGTTTCCCCGCGTAACGACATCTGAGAAACGAGCGCAGAAGAAAATCCCGTGCTGATGACGTGTCACTACCCAGATCTGGATAGTGAAACATCATCAGCATTGAATTTCTGCGCTCGTTCCTCAGACGTCATTTCCCGGGGAAACCAGAAGTGTCATCGCGAAATGTGGGTTGTTTTCTCCAGCTTGATTTTATGACAACATTAAACGAAAAACCGTTCTTAATTAGTCTTTCGTCACATTTCCTTACACCTTTTCATGAATACGATGTGTATTGTTCAAATTACAGTATGAAAAGTTATATATTTTGTTTTTTAGGGTCAGGTCTGGTCAGCTTCTTATGTTAAGCGAGACCACCGTAAGTAGTTTACTATTTTAGTGTGAAATAAATACGTTTGCAAGAAACCATTCGGTATGTACCTTAAACAATCAACATGTTTTTTCCATCTTTAGGCATTGTTCGTTTGTTATAAGCATGCGCAATCTTCTTGCCTGCTCATATTATACTTTCGTCCCCACAGCCACTCACTCTTAACCTACGCTCTGCACCGTGCACGTTACAGTTTAATCGCTAGCTCCGAAATTTCGCACGAATTTGAGAAAGTATGGGCGAATCCTTTTGCCTTTGTTTACATTTTTGCCTTAGTGACATATGCTTATCATTATCTGCTGAAAAAAATCTCTGAATATTAAAAAAAGCGATGTGTAAGGGAATAGAACATTTTCACAATACCCGCCATCTCTGCAGGCGCTTTAGGACTGATGGGATAAAAGCGATGTCACGTGGTATTTCAGGGGGCAAACAGGTGATAAGATTTGCCAATACTTGAATCGCCGTCGAACAAACTGCTCAACTCAAATTAACTAGCTATTTACACTTTTGAACATAATTTGTGTATACGGTGACGCATTCTATGGGTCTACCAGTATGTAATGAGAAAAAATGTAAACAATGACGTCAGCATTAGTTGGCAAGGGAAACTTAATGTTCCAAACCCAAACCTGACCAGACAGGCATCTGCGTTGACGCCTGCCGAGGAGATGACGATTGTCCAGGTTCCGAAAAATGCTGCTTTAATGGATGCGGGCATGTTTGCATGAAACCACTCGATATGTCAATCAACATGGTTTCCCCATATTTAGGCTTTGCTCGTATGAGTATGCGCAAGCAATAACCTTTTCTGTTTCACTACAAAATTTTGCTATGCGCCGTGTAGAATTCCTTGCTTTGAAATCTAGCTAGAGTTCGAAAAGGAATAGGTTTTCTTAAGACAGCATAGCAGAGACTTTGTATAAAAACACCATACGCCACTTCCACATTTCCCATAATGTATCTTTTTTAGAAATTTTCTCCCCAAAATTTAGCATAGCCTTTGGTTTTCATTTCTCCTGGGTATAACAGCCGTCCCAAAAGAAATTGAAAGCAATTCTTATGCAAAATTTTGGGGGCCAAACAAAGTGCATTATGGAAATGTGGAAATGGCGAATTAATTATGTTACAGGACGAGAAAAACCTGGTTTGTGTCCCAAGCCCAAACCCGGTCAGGTTGGCACCTGTGTTAAGGCCTGCTCTGGGGATGGCGATTGTAAAGGTTTCAAAAAATGCTGCTCTAATGGCTGTGGACATGTTTGCACGGAACCACTGGGTATGTACCTTAACTATTAACATCCCTGCTTTGAAATTAGGCGTTGCACGGTTGTTATACGCATACGCAATCTTCTTGCCTGTTGACTCTTAATCTTTCTTTATTATGTATTATGGGCGTTACTACTGTGCATAACTGGCAGGTTTGTTCTTGTTTAAAGTGACACCAATCGTAAGAACCTGCATAATTAGTATTTCGTGGAAAATAATCGATAATGATAATGATAACAATAATGATGATGATGATGATGATAATGATGAAAACTGTTCCGCTAACACGGAAATCAGCATAAAAATAATATTAAAATTTCCTGCAGTGGAAGGAAAGCCTGATTTTTGTCCTAAACCCAAATCTGACCAGATCGGCAGCAGTGTTGACGCCTTCCAAGGAGATGACGATTGTTCAGGTTCCGAAAAATGCTGCTTTAATGCATGCGGGCACGTTTGCATAAAAACCACTCGATATGTAAATCAACATGGTTTCCCCATATTTAGGCTTTGCTCGTATGAGTATGCGCAAGCAATCCCCTTGTCTGTTCACTATTAAATTTTGCTATACACCGTGTAGAATTGCTTGCTTTGAAATCTAGCTAGAGTTCGAGGAGGTATAGATGCTGGTTTTGACCGGACAATGGAAACGAGCTTTACGCGACAGGAGTAGCTCAGAAAAATAGTGGATGAACGATATTGACATGCTGGTTACAATTGGAGTGAGGTCATAGACAAATAGAACAACATAGAACAACATAGAATTTAGCCATACTTTTCTCATAGTAGCGGAACACTTCAGGATGAAATCGATATCTTTAGTATTCAAACTGTGGCCAAGTATAGTAAAATTCGCGTCATTTTCGGAAAATATATAAACTAAAAGAAGTAAATAAAGGGAAATTGTTCAAATTATGAACAGATTTCTTGTATTTTCTCTTTAAGAGAAATTAGGGAAAAACGGTTCTCCTGAGACAGCATAGCAGAGACTTTGTATAAAAACACCATACGCCACTTCCACATTTCCTATAATGCACCTTATTTATAAATTTTCTCCCCAAAATTTGGCATAACCTTTATTTTTCATTTCTCCTGGGTATTACAGCCGTCCCAAGAGAAAATGAAAACAATTCTTATGCAACATTTTAAGGGGCAAACAAGGTGCATTATGGAAATCTATAGAAATGGCGAATTAATTATGTTACAGGACAAGAAAAACCTGGTTTGTGTCCCAAGCCCCGACCCGGTCAGGTTGGCACCTGTGTTCAGGCCTGCTTTGGGGATGGCAGTTGTAAGGGTGCCGATAAATGCTGCTCTAATGGCTGTGGACGTGTTTGCACGAAACCACTGGGTATGTACCTTAACTATCAACATCCCTGCTTTGAAATTAGGCGTTCCACGGTTGTTATACGCATGCGCAATCTTCTTGCCTATTTACTCTTAATCTTTCTTTATTATGCAAAATGGGCCTTACTACTGTGCAAAACTGGCAGGTTTGTTCTTGTTTAAAGTGACACCTATCGTAAGAACCTGCATAATTAGTATTTCATGGAAAATAATCGATAATGATAATGATAACAATAACGATGATGATGATGATAATGATTAAAACCGTACCGCTGACAAGGAATAGCAGAAAATCAGCATAAAAATAATATTTAAATTTCCTGCAGCGGAAAGAAAACCTGACTTTTGTCCCAAACCCAAACCTGACCAGATTGGCATCTGCGTTGACGTCTGCCGAGGAGATGACGATGGTTCAGGTTCCGAAAAATGCTGCTTTAATGGATGCGAGCATGTTTGCATGAAACCACTCGATATGTCAATCAACATGATTTCCCCATATTTAGGCTTTGCTTGTATTAGTATGCACGAGCAACCCCCTTGTCTGTTCACTACAAAATTTTGCTATACACCGTGTAGAATTGCCTGCTTTTAAATCTAGCTAGAGTTCAAGGAGATATGTTGCTGGTTTTGACCGAACAATGGAAACGAGCTTCACGCGACAGGAGTAGCTCAGAAAAAAAGGGGATGAACGATATTGACATGCTGGTTACAATTGGAGTGAGGTCATAGAAACAACATAGAATTTAGCCATACTTTTCTTATAGTACCGGAACACTTCAGGATAAACTCTCTAGTATTCAAACTGTGGCCAAGTATAGTAAAATTCCTGTCATTCTTAAATATGTAAACCAAAAGCAATCAATAGAGCAATTGTTTAAATAATGAACAGATTTCTTGTATTTTTTCGTAGAAAATAGGGAAAAACGGTTCTGCTGAGACAGCATAGCGGAGAATTTGATTAAAACACCATACGCCACTTCCACATTTCCCACAATGCACCTTATTTGCCCTTCCGCCCCAAATTTTCGCATAACCTTTGTTTTTCATTTCTCCTGGGTATTACAGCCGTCCCTAGAGAAAAGGAAAACAATTCTTATGAAACATTTTGGTGGGCAAACATGGTTCATTGTGCAAATGTGGAAATGGCGAATTAATTATGTTACAGCACAAGTAAAACCTGGTTTGTGTCCCAAGCCCCGACCCGGTCAGGTTGGTCTCTGTGTTAAGGCCTGCTCTGGGGATGGCGATTGTAAAGGTGCCGATAAATGCTGCTCTAATGGCTGTGGACGTGTTTGCAAGAAACCACTGAGTATGTACCTTAACTATTAACATCCCTGCTCTGAAATTAGGCGTTGCACGGTTGTTATACGCATGCGCAACCTTCTTACCTGTTGACTCTTAATCTTTCTTTATTATGCATTATGGGCGTTACTACTGTGCAAAACTGGCAGGTTTGTTCTTGTTTAAAGTGACACCAATCGTAAGAACCTGCATAATTAGTATTTCATGGAAAATAATCGAGAATGATAATGACGACAATAATGATGATGATGATTTTAATGATGAAAACTGTTCCGCTAACACGGAATAGCAGAAAATCAGCATAAAAATAATATTAAAATTTCCTGCAGCGGAAAGTAAACCTGAGTTTTGTTCCAAAGCCAAACCTGACCAGACTGGCATCTGCGTTGACGCCTGCCAAGGAGATGACGATTGTTCAGGCTCCAAAAATGCTGCTTTAATGAATGCGGGCACGTTTGCATGAAACCACTCGATATGTCAATCAACACTGTTTTCCCATATTTAGGCTTTGCTCGTATGAGTATGCACAAGCAATCCCCTTGTCTGTTCCTACTAAATTTTGCTATACACCCTCTAGAATTGCTTGCTTCGAAATCTAGGTAGAGGTAGAGAAGGTATAGTTGCTGGTTTTGACCGGACAACGGAACGAACTTTAAGCTGCATGCAAACAGACGCAACAACTCCCAACATTGTTGGCCAACAATGTTGGGAGTTGTTGCGTCCGTTTGCTCGCAGCTAAAAGTTTGACCGGTTTCAAACTTTGTGCAACAACTCCCAACAACACGCAACAACATGCAACAGGGTGTGCAAACGGACGCAACATGTAACATCCAACAATGTTGGAAGTTGTTGGCCAACACTGTTGCTTCCGTTTGCATGGGGCTTTACGCGACAGGAGTAGGTCAGAAAAATAGTGGATGAACGACATTGACATGCTGGTTACAATTGGAGTGAGGTCATACTTTTCTTATAGTAACGGAACACTTCAGGACAAACTCTCTAGTATTCAAACTGTGGCCAAGTATAGTAAAATTCCTGTCATGTTTTAAATATATGTAAACTAAAAGCAGTAAATAGAGGGCAATTGTTCAAATAATGAACAGATTTCTTGTATTCTTTCGTAGAAAATAGGGTAAAACGGTTCTGCTAAGACAGCATAGCAGAGAATTTGATCAAAACACCACAACCCCAATTCCACATTTCCCACAATGCACCTTATTTGCCCCCCCGCTGCCCCAAATTTTCGCATAACCTTTGTTTTTCATTTCTCCTGGGTATTACAGCCGTCCCAAGAGAAAATGAAAACAATTCTTATGCAACATTTTAAGGGGCAAACAAGGTGCATTATGGAAATGTGGAAATGGCGAATTAATTATGTTACAGCACAAGTAAAACCTGGTTTGTGTCCCAAGCCCCGACCCGGTCAGGTTGGCACCTGTGTTGAGGCCTGCTTTGGTGATGGCACTTGTAAGGGTGCCGATAAATGCTGCTCTAATGGCTGTGGACGTGTTTGCACGAAACCACTGGGTATGTACCTTATTAACTATCAACATCCCTGCTCTGAAATTAGGCGTTACACGGTTGTTATACGCATACGCAATCTTCTTGCCTGTTGACTCTTAATCTTTCTTTATTATGCATTATGGGCGTTACTACTGTGCAAAACTGGCAGGTTTGTTCTTGTTTAAAGTGACACCAATCGTACGAACCTGCATAATTAGTATTTCATGGAAAATAATCGATAATGATAATAATAACAATAATGATAATGATGATAATGATGAAAACGGTTCCGCTAACACGGAATAGCAGAAAATCAGCATAAAAATAATATTAAAATTTCCTGCAGCGGAAGGGAAACCTGAGTTTTGTTCCAAACCCAAACCTGACCAGATTGGCATCTGCGTTGACGCCTGACAAGGAGATGACGATTGTTCAGGTTCCGAAAAATGCTGCTCTAATGGGTACGGGCACGTTTGCATGAAACAACTCGATATGCATGGTTTTCCCATATTTAGGCTTTGCTAGTATGAGTATGCGGAAGCAATCCCCTTGTCTGTTCACTGCTAAATTTTGCTACACACCGTGTAGAATTGCTTGCTGCGAAATTTAGCTGGAGTTCGAGGAGGTATAGTTGCTAGTTTTGACCGAACAATGGAAACGAGCTTTACGCGACAGGAGTAGCTCTGTCAATAGAGCGCTTGACTACAGAGCGGGAGGTCGCTGGTTCGATCCCTTTGGCCCGACCCATACTCAGATATACTGAGATATGAAGGTAGTGCCTTTGCCAAATTGCCCTGGAAACGGCTAGACCCTTTGGATGACCACGTAAAATGCCAGTGCCGTCTTCAGTAGGAGACGCAAAAAATGTTTCCCAAATTAGTACTTTCGTGCTAAATACTACATTGACACTCAAATAAAGTGCTTATATTATATATTTCTTCGACAAGAGGGAGGGTTAATTCTAAGAAAATTGCAAGGTAAGGGTAAACAGAATCCTGTTGAGTGTATATCATTTCTTCGTTCGTCCATTTTTCTCACGTTTAATCAATCGTTCGTATGTTTGCCTTTTATATCATTCACGGCAGTCAATCTGGATGCTGTGGAGAAACGAGAGCCTGGCGGGGTCCTTACTTCTGATCGCTGCCCCAAGCCCGGCCGTTTTGGCCTCTGTGCTGAGCTTTGCGGTGTAGGTGGTGGATGCTCAGGAGGAAAAATATGCTGCTCTAACGGGTGCGGTCACCAGTGCATGTCTCGCTGCCCCAAGCCCGGCCCTTTTGGCCTCTGTGCTGAGCTTTGCGGTGTACGTGGTGGATGCTCAGGAGGAAAAATATGCTGCTTTAACGGGTGCGGTCACCAATGCATGTCTCCTGGTAAGTACTGAATCTGCTTCTCCTTAACCCTTTAATGAAAACATTGACCAGCATTGAATATCTCCCCATAACAGTTATTTATTACTTTGGAACCCTGTTCTACCCTCTACTTTTGATGCGTACAGACACTCAGATAACATGGACAGCACTGCATGTCTCCTTCGTGTCCGTATTTGTCCACTGTAGTTAATTGAACCAAAGGGTCGTAAGTTTCGTCATTGGTCCCATAAAATTGTGCGAAAAATATGCATTTTGTTTTTGTTGAATTGTAATTCGGTGGATAAGTTTTAATTGTCAAGAGTGAGATTTTCTCAAGTGGTTTTATTCAAGATCGTAGTTAAACAATGATGACGACGTGATTGTCATATCATGATCACAATGAATATGATACGATGATAACTGGACCCTAGCAAATGACAATGACCACAATAATAACTATGAATTAATATAATTACAAAGGTATATGATGATGGTGGTGGTGATGATGATGATGATGTTGAAGATGATGATGATGATGATGATGATGATGATGATGATAGTGATAGTGATGAAGGAGATGGTCGTGGTGGCAATTAAGACGATTATCTAGGGAAAGCCCAGGAAGCTCAGGCTTTTAAACACTCCATTAAAGGCCCGCGCGTAAGAACCTAGATTTTTTCAAGTCTGGCGAAAAAGTTCTTGGATTTTTTGGTAGCTATCTCCTGTTAAGGCTAAGTTGGTTCTTGATTAGAAGTATTTGACAGAATGTACTCTCCTTCTCACTTTTGCTATGTATGTTTTTACCAATCAGATTACAGTCAAACCAGGTCAAGCGTTCCCGTCGCTAACGAACTAATGAATTCATTCGCGGAGAAATGATTTCGTTTGTTGATTCAATAATCCATTCATAAAATGAACAATCCAATAGTCATATTTAGCCTCGATTCCATAATCGAATGTTGATTCGATTACTGTTTTTTGAAAAATTACACTTTCCACAAGTTGACCTCAGAATTTTGTTTTTTCCTCTTTTTTTTCTGAGAGTCGAGTGCTGGCGAGTTCTGAAGTTCAAACCCAAACAAACTGTTACATGTACGCCAGTTTGCTGCCAATAATCAGTGCAACAGACCTAGGCCTGACCTCTTAGAAAACACGACGGTCAAACTGAGGTCAGTGTATGTGCGGTGATTGGTGGATTTCGATCCTCGGCCTTTGTCAGTTTCTTTGCGTTTGCGGTCTGTCTATTCTAGCTGTTATTTTGATTAAAGGCAATGAAAAACGCAATCGTAAACGGCAGGAAAAGGGAAGCAAATACGATTGAACACAACAGACAAGAATAAAGAACAGGTAGATTTTGTTCATAAACCAAATCAACATTTGATTATTGAATCGAGGTACAATTTGACCGTTGGATTATTCATTTTATGAATGGATTATTGAATCAACAAACGAAATCATTTTTCCATTAATGAATTCATTAGTTTGTTAGCGACGGGAACGCTTGACCTGGTTTGACTGTAACATTTAGAGACCGAGGACACTCTTTTGTTACCAATATTGAGACGCATAGTTGACAGAATGTACTCTTCTATTCTTTTATATAGCGCTACGCTAGCCTCTTCCACGAAGACATTGGTCAAGTTAATTTCCAGCAATAAAGGCCTTGGACAGATGTTTTCCGTTCTTCGTTGCATAACTGTTACATTGATTTTAAAATTAGAATAAATTTAAAGTTAATTGTTGTAAGAAAAATAAATGCAGTATGAAAATAAAGTCAAGATGAAATAGAACTCCTTATTCCTATTTTTTCTTGATCATGTAATCACACTCTCTCTTATTCTTTATGGAAATGTATGGAGATCAGTTTGCAGAATTTGTATGTAGACATTAGGGCGAAGACAGTTGACAAGAAATAACACTCACACTTCGGTTCGATAAACATAAGGCTAAAACGCACTATTATTCATTCAAAACATTTTGCCGTTTCTTGTTGGCTTTATTCCCCGGCCGGCTAATTCGGATTCAAGTGATGAAAAGAGTAGGTTGCAGGTTTAATTCTCGAATTAAACAAGGCACATGCGAAAGTCGACGTTTGAACTGGGCCTAATTAGGCATTGCAACTTTTGTTATATTAGGTCCAATTGTTTCGGCCACTTGCACTCAATCTTCACTACTCTCCACGTTACCGTGGAAAGTCTGCGTGTTCCAAATATTAGGAGTATAAAGAATCTCTTCAGTAAAGTCACCAGTTTTGACAAAGTAAAACAAGCTTTACCCGACTAGAGAGACTAAAAGTATGTTGCTTCTCTTGACCGAGCGGTTGACGGGATTAAAAAAAATGCAGCTCAAGGTTAAGACAAAAACAATTCCGTTGTTTTTCGTCTTCTTAATGAGCGTAGAAGTTTCAAATCTCCAGGTGCCGGAGAAGGAAGGTATAACTTGGATGCCAGGGGGTACGGGGAGAGGAGGTGACAATTTAAATTTAGAAATAGTGCTCGAAAGTTGCTTGTAGTTTTTAATTATTTCCAAGCAGATGTTCATAAATATTCTTAGTTTTATCAAGTTTAACTCTCGATTTTCTAATAGCTGACCAAAGAAGTGAAACACCAATGTTTTTCGAACGAAAACTCTTTTATTAAGATATAAACCTAAGATCTACTCAGTCAAGGTCTTCAACCGTTAGGACAGCATAGTTTTTAAAGGACTCCCACAGCAGCACACTGAGAACCGTATGGAATTCAACGGGTTACTGAAAAAGTTTCGAAGACAAAATATTGCATTAAATATTGTGGAAAATTGTAAAAACAAAGTACTTCAATGTTGCCCAACAAGCAAAAAGCAGGATCTTTGTGCAGATCAGGATGAGCACTGATATAGAAAAGCTAAGCAAAGCTAAGCCCCTGATGGAAACTAGTTTTGTCTAGTCGAAATATTGGGTAAAATGTAATCCTTACCTGTCCGATCATCCTTGCCTTCAATTTTAAGTAAAATAACGGTACTTACGTTTCCATGGAAGCACTAATCGTTCATGTTGAGTCACCAAGGCTAACTTCTCGTGCCCACTCTGTCTTATTAGTAGAGGCAGATCTGGGAACCAGATAATCAAAGGCCATCTCAAAACCTTATAAGGTCCCAGTGTTTTTATCTGCCTTAGCTTCGCTCACCCCACCGCTTCCACCATGATTTGATCACGTGCTTTTGTCGTGATCCGGAGCGGGGTGCTATGGCTGAATTGCTACTGTCGGGATTTATTTAAATTTAGTCAAGGCTCCGTGGGACCACGAATTAACCAATGAGAGTCACTTTTTAGTTGAGCGAAAGTAAGTCTTTCGTAGCAACCGCCACAAAGTACAAATGAAAGAGAAACCTTGTCCCTGTTTTGATTAAGCCCTGGGGACGAGATTGAGCGTATCCACGTATTTCCTTGTCATGGTAAAAACAATGAAATGCAATACGTTAGTTCATGACTTCAGAGAAGACTATAGAGTGTTTTTCTAATTAAAAGCAAACGGCAGTTGGTGACCCCTTTGACCATCTTAGCTTAAAACGTAAAGTTACAAACTTGATCAACATCAAGGACTTCGTAGTTCACGACGTCTCAAATGCAATGCGTTAATTCATGACTTCAGTGAAGACTATATAATGTTTTAATTAATTAATAGCAAACGGCAGATGAAGACGCCTTTGGCCATCTTAGCCTAATACTTAAAGTTCCAAACTTGATTAACATCAATAGCCTTCTAGCAGTTAGACACAACAAATAGAGTTCTAAAGTGTGACGTCATAAAAATTAAATTTGTGAAATTATGGGATTTGTCGGGATATTCTGAAAGAACAACATCCAAGAGGCCTACTACCACCTACTTGCCAAAAACTAGCATTTTGGGGCAAATTGCTTCTGAGATATTTGCCCCTTTCTGCTCTGATGACTCCACATAAATCCTTCATAACGTTATGACCCAAGTCAAGTTTAGAAGGATTTGTATGGAGTCGTCAGAGCATAACTGGGCTAATATCTCAGAGCCAAATCTCCCCGAAATGCTAAGTTTTGACAAGTAGGCCTGTTGGATGTTGTTCTTTCAGAATACCCTGACAAATCCCATAATTTCACAACTATAATATTATGACGTCATCACTTTTGAACTCTATCGGACAGAATCGAGAGAGAAGGCTACGAGAATTAATAACATGGTCACCAAAGGCCAAATGATTTACCTTTTATCAAATTCTTCAAGGAAGTAACTAAATTAAAGTGGTACACGATGGCCAATTGCATATAAATCAAACAATAAAGCTAATAAAAATAGAGCTTTTCACGGTTAACCCAAAATGAAAAAGGTTATTGAAAACTGAGTTTGCGTCTTTAATTTTTAAGCACATTTTCCTTTCATCTGTCACTACATTGTTGCTTTCATGAATAACTCGCTTAACTTCCTTCAAATGAACTTGCCGTTGCATCGTAGTTAGTGATTACTACTGAAGTTGTACATCCAGGTAAAAGTTAGGTTTTCAGTGCATGAAAGCGATTTTTCCTTTCTTTGACTACCTACTGCAGTTTGCGTGTAAACTTTATGTAAATTAATCAGTCTACTTTCTATTACCTTTCAAATGATCTAGACCTCTAACGATTGTAGCGTTTTAATGATATTTTAGTAATACAGCTGTATTTACTGAACATTGGACACGATCGTAAAAGTCATTTAGCAGTGCAAATCTCATTTCGAAGTCTTGAGTTTGGCAAAGGTAAGTCAGGACTTCCCTTGTTTTTCACAGTTTTACTTTTGGTTGCAAAGGGAGTCCAGTATTACACGTATTTAAAAAAACTAGCTGCCAACATTTTTTTTGCGTGAGTTGTTCAAATTATATTTTACTGGCCAGGGAAGATTATTTAGCTTCTCGATCTACGCAAAGCGGGTTTCGAATGTTCTTAAAAAATTGCGGCATTTTCTATCGCAAATTCATAAGACTGTTATATTTCAAAATATGCTGCAAATTCATTTGTGTTGCTGTTGTCAGATTCTGATGAAAAGAATATACAATTAATGGGAAAAACTTACCAGAATAGATAAATAACTGATAAGCTCGGTGCTTGCTATGTTTTGTTTTCAAAGGTGCCTATCGAGATTCAAAAAACATCATGGTCTGAATGAGCTTGTAGAGATTATCATTTCTTTTCAAGTGACATTGCTAAAGTTAAAAGGAATTTCTAGAAATTAAAAACGCTTCCAACAAGTTTCTGTCATCAAAGGCACTCCATTCCATTCGAGGGATAGCAGGTAACATTTCTTTGGACTAAGTTGTTGGTATGGGAAAACTAAAATAGGTTAGGAGTTACTGGCTGATCGAGGTTATTACATTGGTTATTAGAGGACGGCTTATGTTGTCTGTATATATGTTATATTAATTTGGTGGTTTCTTAATTGGGTAGTGTATTTGACAGCTATTTTCTTTTCCTTTTGTTAGTTTAGATTGACTGACCATTTCAAAATGAATCGCGCAATTATTGCTGTATTTTGGGTGTTCATTGTGTGTTCCATCTTAACCGTGAGTAAATTAGCCTGAGGAAACTACCAACATTTTGAGATGCCACAAATGGCTTCCCCGAGTAACGACATCTGAGAAACGAGCGCAGAAGAAAATCCCGTACTGATGACGTGTCACTTCCCAGATCTGGGCAGTGAAACATCATTAGTCTCGAATTTCTTCGCTCGTTCCTCAGACGTCATTTCGCGGGGAAACCAGAAGTGTCTTCGCGAAATGTGGGTTGTTTTCTCCAGTTTGATTTTATGACAACATTAAACGAAAAACCGCTCCCAATTAGTCTTTCGTCGCATTTCCTTACACCTTTTCATAAATACAATGTGTATTGTTCAAGTTACAGTATGAAAAGTTATATATTTTCTCTTTTAGGGTCAGGTCTGGTCAGCTTCTTATTTTAAGCGAGACCACCGTAAGTAGTTTATTATTTAAGTGTAAAATAAATACATTTGCAAGAAACCATTCGGTATGTACCTTAAACAATCAACATGTTTTTTTCCATATTTAGGCATTGCTCGTTTGTTATAAGCATGCGCAATCTTCTTGCCTGCTCATATTATATTTTCGTCCCCAGGGTCACTCACTTTTAACCTACGCTCTGCACCGTGCACTTTACGGTTGAATCGCTAGCTCCGAAATTTAGCATGAGTTTGAGAAAGTCTGGGCGAATCCTTTTGCCTTTGTTTACATTTTTGCCTTGGTAACATATGCTTATCATTATCTACTAAAAAAATCTCTGAATATCAAAAAAGCGACGTGTAAGGGAATAAAACATTTTCACAATGCTCGCCATCTTTGCAAGCGCCATAGGACTGATGGGATAAAAGCGATGTCACGTGGTATTTCAGGGCAAACAAGTGATAAGATTTGCCAATACTTGAAATCGCGGTCGAACAAACTGCTCAACTCAAATTAACCAGCTCTTTACACTTTTGAACATGATTTGTGTATACTGTGACTTATTCTATGTGTTTACCCCTAATAAGCAAAAATGGAAACAATGACGTCAGCACTAATCGGCTGGTTTTTATGGGCCAGGGAACTTCTTAATGCGTTTCCTCTCTTCTCCTAGCTGCAGTCGGGAGGGTTAATTATTGAGTGTATTTCATTTCTCTGTTCTTTCATTTTTCTCATGTTTGTTGAATCAGTCTTATGTTTGGTTTTTATATCATTCACGGTAGTCAATCTGGATGCTATGGAGAAACGTCTGTTTGGTCTGGACGGGGGATGCCCTAAGCCCGGCCGTTTTGGCCTCTGTGTTGAGCTTTGCGGTGTAGGTGGTGGATGCTCAGGAGGAAAAATATGCTGCTTTAACGGGTGCGGTCACCAATGCATGTCTCCTGCTGGTAAGTATTGAATCTGCTTCTCCTTAACCCTTCAATGAAAACATTGACCAGCATTGAATATCTCCCCATAACAGTCTCGTGGAGGAAACAGTCATTACAACAGTGGAACCCCGTTCTACGCTCTACGTTTAATACGGATCATTATAGAAATATTTTCAAAAATTGTTGCAGTGGAAGAGAAACCTGGTTTTTGTCCCAAACTCAAACCTGGCCAGGCTGGCATCTGCGTTCTCGCCTGCCTAGCAGATAACGATTGTTCAGGAGCCGAGAAATGCTGCCATACTGGATGCGGCTACGCTTGCATGAAACCACTTGGTATGTCAATCAACATGGTGTCTCCATATTTAGGCATTTTACGTTTGCTACAAGTATACGCAATTCTCTTGTCTTCTTACTCTCCGCAACTTCTCGGGCCCGAAGAAATTTAAAATCAGCTTACAAATCGGTCCATTTTGCTCCAATAACTGATAGTTTCATCGTATCATTTTCAAGGTTGATAAAATTTTGATCTTGAATGCAAACATTTACGGCAAACATAAACCAGCTTTACGGGCCCGAAAAGTTGCCGGGACTTTTGAGAAACAGGCCTCAGCATCGAATATCTCCCCAATTATAATACTGAGTTATCTTCTACAGTAGAACCCAGTTCTACGCTCTATTTAATACGTACCGACACCCAGATACTTGTATAGACACCATGGTATGTCCATTGCATGGTATCCGTATACTAACCGGGTTCCACTGCACTGATTGAACAGGAAAAAATGTCGCAAGGTTTCATCATTAGTCGTATAAAATTGTGTGAAAATATGCATTTTTTTTGTTGAAATTGCAATTCGGTGGATGATTTTTAATTATCAAGAGTGCTATTTTCTCGACTGCTTTTATTCAAGATTGTAGTCAGACAAATACTTAGGATCGATTTCCGCCGTCTTTTTCCCGAACAGCGGCTGGTAATCGAGCCTAACAAATACTTTGATGGCTACGTGATTGTCATGATCACTTCGATGACGTGATAATGAATATGATACGACGTGTCCAATCTTCTTGTCAGCTTGTACTCAACCTCAACCTATGTATCATGCACACGTTACCGTGGAAACATGTTCCAAAAATTAGGATCATAAAGAATCCTCGCTAAAGTCACTAGTTTGACCAAGTAGAACGAGCTTTACCCCGACCAGAGAACCCACACGTATCAGAACGATTTAACTCTCATATTGCGTTTGGGCTGCCTGTGGTCTCCCTATACTCCCACCCATGCAGATGAGATAAAATTGACAAGCCACACATCTGTCCTGTCTTTATCGTCACATTACCGACATTACTGATAAATCAACATAGACTTCCAGCCATCATTTTCACTATATATATATATATATGCTTCCTACCAATCGAATTTTTTACAATTCATACACAGGGATAACTTTTTAGAGACGCGTATTTGACAAAATGTACTCTCCTTTTCTGTTAGAAACAAGAGGGCGACGCTAGCTTCTACTATGAATCCCATGACTGACTGATCATTTTTCCACGAGTAAAAAGCCTTGGAGAACCATGGAGAGAAGTCTTCCGGCTACTTAGTTGCATAGTGGTTAGATTTTGAAGGTAGAATAAAAGTTGAACGATGTAAGAAAATATAAAAAATAAAACTCAAACTAAGAGTAAATCTTGTTCTCTCCCTGTCGTTATAATCATCCAAATTCTATATATAGCGCTAGCATTTACCTCTCCGGCATAAATAGCCTTATTTATATTTCGAGAGAAGCGAGGAAAGGGCGACAGATTAGCGCAGAGCGCAACGTGAAGAAAACAAACGCCTGGGAGCAGTCTCTTGCTCCATATGACTTCTTCCAGCTTCTCTGTCGTCTGGCTCAATGTCGATATTTTGTGTTCTCCCACCTCGCGCTTTGTGCTCGACCCCCCGGGCCAGGAGTCCGACCACGCCTCCCGCTCGACAACGTACTACGCCTCGGATTATGATTAACAAGGTTCTGTGTACGACAACCTTCCTCGTGAGCCCGATTTTTCGAACCCTGGTTAAGGCAATAATCTTGCTACATCTTACCCAGGTTCATAAGAAGGCTCAACGCAGTTTATTGTAGACATGATGACCACCCCTGAAGCTGGCACGTCGCCTCGTGTTACGAAAAACGATACGCTGTAGCTGTTTGAATGTCAAAAATCCACACCCTGATGATAGCGGGCCTAGCGTTATAAGAAAAGCCTACAACATCAATAACAAGCTTTACTTGCAAGACCATACTAGTACATACAGTATTGCAAGAGCCATAAAAAAGCCATAAAATAGTACAAAACACCAATGGCGTAACCAACCAACTGGACGCCAAAAATATAACTCCAGAGTAGCACCAGGAATAAGCGTCATGCAATGAGCTTCTTAGATTTTTTTAGGTTGTTTTTAACATAATTATTAACATTTTGGTATCACAAGTCATTTATCTATTTTAATTTTTCTTTGAGACTTCGTGGCTCACAGAGTCTCAAAATTCAACAAGTTAATTCGTGACTTTAGTGAAGGCTATATAACCTTTTTATAATTAATAGCCAACAGCAGTTCAAGACCCCTTTAGCCATCTTAACTTAATACGTAAAGTTCTAAAGTTGATCAACCTCAACAAATTAGACTCAATTAAGCCAAAAGGTTACGAGAATTAACAAAATGATCACCAAAGGCAAAATGATTTACTTTTATTCAAATTCCTTCAACCAATTCTTTAACCCTTTAAGCCCCAATATCGACATACAAATTCTCCAAACTGATCTCCATACATTTCTTTCATGAATGAGTTGAGAGAATCTGATAAAAGATCGAGGCATTTTTCCTTAGGTGATCATTTTATTAATTCTCATAACCTAATCTCTTGACATTGTATGGATATCGTTAGGAGAAAATTGACGTTAGTCACTATTGGGACTTAAAGGGTAAGGAAGTAAGATAAAAGAGGTACACGATGGCCAATTGCATATAACTCAAACATTCAATAAAACTAACAAAAATAAAAATTTTCACGTTAATTTTCAAGCACATTTTCCTTTCACCCGTCACTATATTGTTACTTTTTGACTAAAATAAGTTGCTCATCTTACTTTTAAATGAACTTGTTGTTGCTTCGTAGTAACAACTGTAGTAAGTTAGTGATTACGTCTGAAGTTGTATATCCAAGTAAAAGTTAGGTTTTTGCATCAAAGCGATTTTGCCTTTCGTTAAATACCTACCGCAGTTTGCGTGTAAACTTTATATAAATTAATCATTCTATTTTCTATTACCTTTCAAAGTGACGGCTAACGATCGCAGAGTTTTAATGATATTTTAGTAATACAGCTGTATTTACTGAGCATTGGACACAATTGTAAAGGTCATTACATGTTAGCAATGTAAATTTCATTTTAAAGTCTTGAGTCGTGTCAAAGGTAAGTCAGGACTTCCCTTACTTTGAACATTTTTTGCAAGCCCCCTTTTCAGTTTTGTGTTGCACAGGGAGTCCAGTATTACATGTATTTAAAAAATTTACCTGCCAACAATTTTTTTTTTGCTCGAGTTGTTCAAATTACTGGGAAGATTACTTAGCCTCTGCGCAAAGTTCAACATGTTCTCAAAAATATTGCGGCATTTTCTAATGCAAATTCCTAGGACTGTTACATTTTTTTCGAAGTATCCTGTAAATTCATTTGTGTTGCTGTTGTCAGATCCCGGTAAAAGCAACATAGAATTAATGGCAAAAATGACCATAATAGATAAGCTACTAACTATAACTTACTATAATTGATACGCTTTGTGTTTGCTACGTGTCGTTTTCAAAGGTTCCTATCGAGATATAGAAAACATCGTGGTCTGAATGAGCTTGTAGAGACTATTATTTCTTGTCAAGTGACATTGCTAAAGTTAAAAAGCACTTCTAGAAATTATAAACACTTTCAAGTTTCCGTTATCAAAGGCACTCCACTCCATTCGAGGGATAGCAGGTAACATTTCTTTGGACTTAAGGTTGAGGGTCTGGGAAGACTCAATCAAGGGCACCCAACGAGAATATAGTTCAAAACCACTTAAACATAGCAAACGTATTTTAGTATTTAAACGGTATTATAGGCATATTTTTATCCCCTAAAAATTTTTCATCTGTTCGGATTTCATAGCTGAAAGTCTAGTGATCCGAAAATTACAGGGATCAAAACTTACCTTTCCGAAAATTCCAGCCAGAAAAAAGGCTTCCGAAAATTCTAGGTGACCTTTTTAGGGTGAAAATCTGTTAAAAATAGGCAATTATACCATTTTTTAGATGTTCGAAAATCCTAGGAGAGGCAGGCAAGCAAGAAATTTTACAACAAATGCTCCGAAAATTCTAGATCTCAAATCGTCTTCCGAACAGATATTTTCCGAAAATTGTCGTTGGGTGCCCCTGCTCAATCAGGTTAGAAGAAACTGAGGGTTATTACGTTGGTATATGTGGACGGTTTATGTTGTCCATCAAGAACCATAAGGGCTATTTTGCCTATGTAATGTTGCAGTTAATTTTGTATTTCAGTTCATTTTTGTTGTTTCTTTGTTTCAAATTCATTAGCCTACATTACCATCACCCAAACAGGCAACGGAAAAACAAACATTAACTGAAATACAAAATTAACTACAACATATATGTTATGGTGGTTTCTTTGGGTAATGTATTTGACAGCTATTTTCTTTTCCTTTTGTTAGTTTAGATTGACGGACCATTTCAAAATGAATCGCGCAATTATTGCTGTATTTTTGGTGTTCATTGTGTGTTCCAGCTTAACCGTGAGTAATTTATATAAGCCATATAGGCTTGTGCCGCCCCATCGGGTAGCCCCGTAGCGTTTTTGCGCCGTTTTGGTCTGAACACGGGTATACACTTATGGTATGGTTTTCGAGGAAACTGCGGGTGTGTATGAACGTATTTATTCATCGTATCAGTTCCGAATGAGTAAGAAAGAAAGAGAAATGTGAGAGTTCGAAGTGGATTTTAAGAAATCTTTTTTGTTGGCGTTCTAATCTAAGAAGACTTGCCACAACTCAACCTCACGAGTTTCTAAACGAAAACGGGTATAGATTTCAGAGGCCAGGTCTGAAAACGAGTGTGGAAATTGACATTATTTGGTCTGAAATAGGGTCATGGTTTGGAGGTCTGGGCAGCACACCCCACCCCCACAAGAATTCCCAGGAGAACCCCCCCCTCCTTACAAATTTTCATAAATACAATGCGTATTGTTCAAATTACAGTATGAAAAGTTATATATTTTGTTTTTTAGGAACAGGTCTGGTCAGCTTCTTATTTTAAGCGAGACCGTAAGTGGTTTATTATTTTAGTGTAAAATAAATACGTTTGTATGAAGCCATTCGGTATGTACCTTTTGAAACAGTCAACATGGTTTTTCCATATTTACGCATTGTTCGTTTGTTATAAGCAAGCGCAATCTTCTTGCCTGCTTACATGACCAAGCACGTTACGGTTGAATCACTCGCTCCGAGATTCAACATGAGTTTGAGAAAGTCCTTACCTTTGTTCACTTTTTTGCCTCATTAACTTATGATTATCATTATCTGATGAAGAAATCTCTGAATATTAAACGAGCTCTGTATAATTAAGGGAATAGAACTTATTCACGATACCCGCCATCTCTGCACGCGCGCTCTACGGACTGATCAGATGAAAGCGATAGTATGTGGCATTAAAGGGGGCAACAAGTGATAAAATTTGCCAATACTTGAAATCGGAGTCGAACAAACTGCTCAAGTTAACACTGACTTCAGCAAGGATTCGCCTAGAGTCACTGTTTTTTAATGGCCAAGGGAAACTTAACGCTTTTCTTCTCTTCTCCTGCGGTCGGGAGGGTTAATAATCGAGTGTATTTCATTTCTCTGTTCCTTCATTTTTTTCTCACGTTTGTTCAATCAGTCTTATGTTTGGTTTTTATATCATTCACGGCAGTGAATCTGGATGCTATGGCGAAACGTATGCCTGGTCTGGAACAGAGTTGTCCTAAACCCAGCGGCTTTGGCCACTGTGCTATGCTTTGCAGTTCAGATGGTGGATGCCCAGAAGGAAAAAAATGCTGCTTTAACGGGTGTGGTTACGATTGCATGTCTCCTGGTAAGTACTGAATCTGCTACTCCTTAACCATTCAGTGGAAACCTTGACGAGAATCGAATGTCTCTCCATAACAGTTATTTACCACAGTGAACCCTGTTCTACCCTCTACTTTTAATGCTTACCAACACCCAGATAATATGGACACCATAGTATGCTGAGTATTTTCTCTTGGGTTCCACTGCAGTTGATTGAACAAAAAGGTCGTGAAGTTTCGTCATCAGTCCCATTAAATTGTGTGAAAAATACGCATTTTGTTCTTGCTGAATTGCAATAGACCTTTTTACCTATACGGCGGCCATATTGAATTAATTCGATTTAAGGAGTATTATACGATGCCCAGAGGGCATGAGCACATTTCGTTTTTATTTTCAAGCGTTTTTCGGGACATTCTTTCGTAAAGTTTTTTTAGAATAAGATTGTAATGGGAAAAAAGATCCTTGTGCCGTGTTTAGATGTAATAATGATCGCCTTTTTCCCGAGATATATACAGTGAAAGACCATATTTCTAATACTAAACTAGAAAAAGGCGATCATTATTACATCCAAACACGGCAAAAGGATCTTTTTTCCCATTAAAATCTTATTCTAAGAAAATTTTAAGAAAAAATGTCCCGAAAAGCGCCCGAAAATACAAACGAAATGTGCTCATGCCCCCTGAGCATCCTTATAATCGAATCAATTTAATATGGCCGCCGTATCGGTAAAAAGGTCTATTCGGTGGATGAGTTTGAATTGTCAAGAGTGCTTTTTTCTCAGCTGTTTTTTTTTTTTCAAAATTGTAGTCAGACCAATAGTTTGGTGGCGAAGTGATTGTCATGATCACTTCGATGACGTAATTAGGGAGCTTAAGCAAGGACGACGGCGACGTCAACGAGAACGGCAAAAAAGCATAGGTTTCGATTGGCAAAACAACAACTTTGCACGTGCATCACGCTTTTTTGTACATTTCTTTGCCGTCACTGCACGACTACGACGTGAAAATGTCTAATTTCACCTTTTGTGGAGCACGTAAACACTAGGCAACGACTTTCTTCTTCTTTTGCTGAACTTCGATGCAGTCTATTAGAATTCAACTCCAGAAAAAATTGCCAAGATTTGACCAATTGAACGAGTTAGAATAAGCGCGATAAAGTTTGATGCAGCGCGACATCAATTTTTAAGTGACGTTTTCGTAGTCGTAGCCGTCGCCGTCGCCCTCGCCGTTGTTGCTAACGTGAATATGATACGACATGTCCAATCTCCTTGCCTACTTGTACTCAATCGTATCGTTACTAGTCTATGTATCATGCACACGTTACTGTGGAACCATGTTCTAAAAATAAGGATTATAGAGAATCTTCGGTAAAGTCGCTAGTTTGACTAAGTAAAACGAGCTTTACCCCTACATGAGAAACCACACGTATCAGAACGATTTAACTCTCATATTGCGTTTTGGCTGCCCCTGTGGTCTCCCAAGGTGAGATAAAATTGATCAGCCTCAAAGTTTTCTTTATCTTCACATTAGCGACATTACTGGCAAATCAACAACTTCCAGCCCTCATTTTCACTAAAAAAATGTTTTCCACCAATCGAATTTTTAAAATTCATACACAGGGATAACTTTTTGTTATAATCATGAGATGCATATTTGACAAAATCTACTCTCTTTTTCTGTTAAACAGGGCGACGTTAGCTTCTTCTATGACGCCCGTGATTGATCATTTTTCCAGCAGTAAAAAGCCTTAGAGGACCTTGGAGAGGAGTCTTCCCTACTCAGCTGCATAATTATAGAATAAAAGTTGAGTGATGCAAGAAAATATAAAAATAAAACTCTAGCTAAAAAAAATCTTGTTCTCTCCTTATCGTTATAGTGATCCCAATTCTCCATGTCATAACAAGTTTTCTTTCTTTGTCAGGGAAACATTATAAGCGTCGTTCGTTTTAATGCTTAATTTCAAACAGATAAGTTCCATACAACTTATTCTGCTTGCTACTATGGAACTTGTATCCTTAACAGTGTCCAAACTTCACTGTTAAAAAAGATAATAAATCATTTGAGATTAGCGCAGAGCGCAACGTGAAGAGAAAATCGCCTGGAACCAGTCTCTTGCTCCATATGACTTCTTCCAGCCTCTCCGTCGTCTGGTTCGAAAACGATATTTTGTGTTCTCCCGCCTCGCGCTTTGTGCCCGATCCCCCGGGGCCGGGAGTCAGACCATACCTCCCGCTCGACAACATACTACGCCTCGGATTATGATTAACAAGGCTCGGTGTACTTCAACCTTCTTCGTGAGCCTGATTTTTCGAACTCTGGTGAAGGCAGTAATCTTGCTATCTCTTCGTCAGGTTCATAAGAAGGCTTAACGCAGTTTATTGTAGACATGATGACCGCCGCGGAAGCTGCTACGACACCTGTTACGAAAAACGATACGCTGTAGCTGTTTGAGATGTCAAAAATCCAACCTGCTATAGGCGGGCCTAGCGTTTTAGGAAAAGCCATAAAACAGTACAAAGCACCAATGGCGTAACCAACCATTTGGACACCAACAATCTCTAGCGTAGCACCGGGAATAAGCATTTCGTAGCAACCGTCCCAAAATCCAAAGAAAAACGCGCACACAATGATCCACTCATATTTGGTTGCCTTAGTAACAACCGCGCAGATTAAGCCCATGAGAAGCACAGCCGTGGGGCAGACTATGAGCCTCTTGAAGTGTGGATAATCGCACAAGACTCCGAACAATAAACTGCCCATTATTCCTCCTACAGACATAAAGCCTGTTAATAGAGAGGCATTTGATTTGCTGACACCCTTATCTTCTGCGAAGCGTACCTGTCAGAAATGAAAAATAAAAATCTTGGTCAGTTTTTACACCAATGTTTTAATAGTCTTCCCCAAACCACGCATTGTTTAGGGTGAGGTTTCTTACTACCTTGTAAAAAAGAGCACTACAGGAAAGTTCTGTCCAGCAGCTTCCATTCGGAAGCCGATAACACCATAAGATTTGATCCTTAGAGTCATTAAATTCTTTCATTAAATAGTCATCCCACAGGACTTCTGCAGAATCAAAAGTTAGAGCCATTTTCTTCAGAAATATGAACAGAACCAAAGGAAGGTACTCATCCTCAGACTCAAAGGTTAGAAACACCTTCTCAATGGAAATGAATAGTACCACAGGAAATACTATACCACTCAGTAGCTTTTAATTGAATGGCCAAACCGTAGGATTTCATCTATAAAACTCAAAAGTGAGAATCACCTTGAACAGCATAATAAACAGTACCACAGAAAAGTACTGCTCAGTAGCTTTCATTTGAATGGTCACACCATAGGATTTCATCCACAGACTCAAAAGTTAGAATCACCTTGAACAGTATAATAAACAGTACCACAGAAAAGTACTGCTCAGTAGCTTTCATTTGAATGGTCACACCATAGGATTTCGCCCACAAACTCAAAAGTTAGAACCACCTTGTAATGGAAATGAATAGTACCACAGGAAATACTATACCACTCAGTAGCTTTTATTAGAAGGGCCAAACCGTAGGATTTCGCCCACAAGCTCAAAAGTTGGAAACACCTTGTACAGCATAATAAACAGTACCACAGAAAAGTACTGCTCAGTAGCTTTCATTTGAATGGTCACACCATAGGATTTCATCCAGACTCAAACGTATCCCGGCACAATTATTTTGACTGTGAGAGTGAACAGGTTCGATTCAACAGTAGCACTGTTACGTACTACACAAAAACAGAAAACTTACCAAATGAACAAAAGGCACAAGAAATACCACCATGAACGTACAGTGCGCAATAACCCAGATGACGTAAGATTTGTTCTTGAAAACTTGTAGGTCGAAAACCGCTGTATTACGCTGTCGAACGTTTGTTCCTGTTTCCATGCCTAAAGGAACAAAAGTCAGCGCGCTTAAAAACATCAAGATCTGTAGACTACTGAGAATTTGAAACGTCACTGAAATGCTAAATTCGGACGATAACATCTGTATTAATGGGCCATACACCAACCCCCCCGAAGCGGCGCCAGCAAGAGCTATCCCGGATGCAAAGCTCAAACGTTTCTTAAAATACTTTGTTAAAATGACAAGCGAGGGGAATAGGCCGAGACTTGATCCCAGGCCCCAAATCACACCATATGTAACGAACAGAGGTTGAAGTGTTGTTGCAAAGGAGCTGGTGAGGAGTCCTGAAGCCGATACAAATGAGCCAACAATCACTACTACTCGACTTCCGTAACGTTCAGCCAGAGCAGTGCCCATAGCAGCGAACAGGTAATTCATGCTGGAAGCCAGTGAAGTGACCCAAGCTGAGAGGAGAAAAGACTGTAAATATAATTTAAAGTAAAAGAATAGAATTGAAAAAAATCACCCTTAAAAGCTTCATCTTACTTCTTTTCAGCAGAAAAGTTAGCACAGGTGTTTTTATATATTGAAAGAGTTTAAGCCCTCTCCCGGTTTTAAAATGATAAAAACTTTACGTAACGTTACGTTTTCCCGCCACTATGACATTTTCGCTAAACCTCGTAGTAGAGTGACGACGGCTATCACGTGTGCCCGCCAAAATGACGCTGGTTCACGCACGCATCCCACTTGGTATTGAGAAAATCTCGTTCTCGTGGTCGTCCTCGCCTTAAAATCTAAAGGACTTAATTAGTCTAAAAAAGGTTAAACAGTATTAAAACGAATTACCTGTTTCTCCCCTAGGCGTGGAGTACTCATCCATGATGGCCACGTACACTACCCCTGCTGAATTGTGTTGTCCAACAGTCAGGAAATTCACCACAAAAACTCCCGCGCAGACAACCCATCCCCATCCCCCATCGGTTGGCGAATCCTCCTTGCTTGACGACGTTACCTCAGGTACTGCTGGCTGCGCTTCCTCGAAAGCGCATGCTCCAGACATCACAGCCTTGGTCGAGTCTTTGGTATCACCTTGCTTCATTGTCATCAGACGACTCTTGCTTTTTCAATTTTGCTATATATATGCAGAATTCCTACAACAAAAATCCCAACTCTTACTTTTCAGCTGAGAGTCAAATTGAGGCCTCCTCTTCAATAGCGAATGTTCTGTTGTTCTGTGAACTGAAATACGAGAAACGCATAATCAGCAGATGAAATGTGCTTTTTTTTATGTTACTAGGATTGTCAGTAATGCTAAAATATAAAGAAAAATAGTGATGCTACTATCCATCATATACATCGTAAGCACCGTTGAAGGGATTCGCGGCACCGATGACATTTGGAAGGAAATTCGGTCGCAAGCGCAATGGCCACTAAGCTAAAACAAAAAAAAAGTCATCACATGTTAGGCAATTAAGCAAACAGGATTACTGTTGTATACATTATTCATGTTTATTTTTCCTATGCTGTGTGATAAACAAAGAAACTTAGTAGGCCTTAAATTCGCATGTCCATCTTTAAAATACGGTGAAAGGGGAAAGTGTTCACGGTTTTGACTGTTAGACCAACCCTCTACAGGCAGCGTTTTCGGAATGAATATGTGCCAATAGCGGCTCGGCACGTTTCTTGAAAGATAACCCGGGGTTGAGCTAAATTCTGGTCAGGAAAATATAGCTAAAGCTTATCATACCTAAAAAAAGGCAACCATATTTTAAGTCGATACCTCGAGACAGTAATAACCGTCTCGAGGTACCCCACTCTGTCTCGAGGTTACCCCCCTCCCCACTCTCTCCATCAGTACTCCGTTTTAAGGGTATTTAACCCTAGTAAAAGCTACACAGGAAAGAGAGAAGTTGAAAAAAGGATGTGATGTCACCGGGGATCGAACTAAGGAACTCAATAGGCATAGGCGTACGGGAAATTTTTTGCCGGGGGGGGCGGTAAACCATTTGCCCAAAAAAATCTCGCAAGTTGCCCAAATTTTTCCGAAAGAGTCGAAAAGAAATGAGGGCCATATTGCAACAACATAGGCCGTCGTGGCATATGAAGGTGGCTCGACGATACGGTTTTTCAGGGTCAATACCAAGTCTGAACATAAACTACGTCGCCATAAACAAACATTTGGAAAAATTGCGACCACAGTTGTATTAACATGAAAATTTGTCATCATCAGAGTTGCAATGACATCGCAGTTGTCATAGCAACGAAATGACTCCCCCCGCCCATTACCTATTTTACTTCAGCAATGATTCCCGGCACAGGAACCTTACAAAATCGTTCACAGGAGCTTTTTTCTCCAATACGGTCGCCTCGATGTTCGTGAAGTTTAAGCAAAACCTTATCGAGATATTTTGGAATGAAGTTTTTATTATTAGAAATACGGTAAGAACAGGAAAATCTTGATTTTTGGCCGTTATCTGTAGAAAACGAAGCGCTTTTGACCTGCAATTTCACCTCATAGTAGTTTTAATCTTTTTAAAAACATGTGTGAAAGATCGTGGAGATAGCTCTGCTTGATTGCTAGAATCGAAAGAAGGATTTGATTAGTATGTATCGAGACACTAGTGGTTTTGTAAACATTTCGGTCTACTTTAACAAATTAGCGAATAATTTTAAACCGCTCGATAGACTTTTTAAAAGAATTAAAATTCTTCTCGTAATTCAAACTGAGAATTAGTCAGCCACTTCTTCATTTTCATACCCATTGCTAAATGCTATCTGCCATACTCTGTTCTTCGAGTAGAGATGATTCTAGAAAGTTATTCGAAAGTTTATTTTAATCAATTCACGACTGGAAATAGCCCATTTCAGCTAGTGCAGTGCAGTATAGTGCCCAACGAAAAAAACTGCAAATATGTAAAATACTCATCATATGCTAGGCAACCACTGTAATGTAACTGGATTATTACGCCGACTTCAGGTTAATATTCAGGTCTTTAAAATAATTAAATAAACATGGAGACGTCTTTAAAAACTGGCTTTGCCCAAATTTTCTCTCGCTGCCCAAAAAATCTGAGTTGCCCAAAATTTGGGGGGGCTGCAGCCCCCCTCGCCCCCCGGCCCATACGCCTATGTCAATAGGGTGATTTAGCAACAGAACAGGAACTTTAGTTGACGACCGCGCGCGCAAATCAAACAACTGGCTTAAACAATGGCAGAGCGGCAAATTGGGTACCGGAAGTCATGTTTAGTCCTTTATTCCGCGCGCTTTCCCGTCATCAACTGACGTTCTCGTTCTGTTGCTAACTCAGCCTAATGCCACCCTTGCTCAATAGTTGAGCCTTTACTCCGAGATCCCTTCATCAGGGGCACCCAAAGACTGCTTTTCGTAAAACAGATTATCTTTTCGGAGAAGCAAGTATTGCCTAGAATTTTCTATTGCTTGAGGACGGGTAAAAATTTCTAGATAAGCGAAGGTTTCCCTGCGATTTTCTGAAGTTTAATTTTTCACATTTCACCCCATATGTTAGAAAAAAGGAAACATAAAAGTTTCGGATTCAAAACTGTGATGGAGAGAGGAAACAAAAAAATTCGCACTTTCGTATAATGCGTTAAATTGCATCTAAAATTTTCGGGAAATTAACACGGAAGCCCTTGGAATTTCGAAAAGACTCAAATTGCCCTAGGATGAATGAACAGATACAAATTTTATAGCGCCGCTTGTAGAGATCTAAAAGTACTCTAGATAGCCTAAAAACCCAAAGACTGTTTTCTGTAAAATATCTGTTCGGAGAAGCAAATATTGCCTAGAATTTTCTATTACTTGAGGAACGCTAAAAATTTCAAGATGACCATTCCGTTCATGTACAAATTTCGAAGCTTATCTAATAAATTCCTTACGTTTTTCTTAAGTTTAATTTTTCACACTTCACTTCCCAGTTTTGGCTATTTTTCGTAGAAAAAAGGAAACCTAAGAGTTTTTGGTTCAAAAATATGATGGAGGGAAGAATCAGAATCAAGTCTTACTTTCGTAATACGTTAAATTGCATCTAAACTTTACGGGAAAATGATACTGAACCCTTGTAATCTCGAAAAGCCTCAAGTTCCCCTAGGATGACCGAACAGATACAAAATTTATAGCGCCGCTTGTAATTAATTCATTTTTAGAGCAATAAAATCATGCTGGATAGCCTAAAAAGTGAGGTTTTGTTGGCGTTCATGATCGAGCCCGTTTTTTCACCGCTCTGGACCATGCGCACTCGCTGATCATGAGATAAGCAGGCGTCACGAGTTGGCTAGAATCATTTCTTCGGCTTGAGCAACATGAGGTAAAAAAACAGAGGCAAAAGACTTGACGGAAACGCAGAAACATAGCACATTTAACTGAAAGGCAAAACATAGTATCAGTGGCAGATCCAGACCTTTAGCGGATAATTGGGGCGGGGGGGTATATTTTTTTTTGGCCCTTCGGGCCTCAGTTTGGTCTAAAAATAGGGGGGGAAGGGCAGGGCCCCCCAGGTCCCCACCTGGATCCTCCACTGAGTATATCATGTGAGTGCTGAAGAGGCTTCATGTGGTGATGTTCACATCATGCTGCTATCATCCAGGCTCATAATTAAGACCAAGTGAGGGTACGTGCCGATTCTTGGTCAGTTTGTTGACTTTAACTCTTTTTACTGTCCGCACTTGCCAACATTTCTGACTCAAATGCGTAAGATTTTCATCTTGTCATGACCAGAATTTCAGAAAAATGTCCCAGCGACCGAAGATTTCCGACAATTTTCCGAAGACTTCCTAACGTTGACGAAAATGTCCGGAGATTTTCAAACGACCTTTGAACACTTCCGAAGCTATTTGATGCTTTTCCGAAGGCTTTCGAACTGATTGTTAAAAAGAAGAAAGAAATAATAAAAATATATGAAATGAAGTTTATCATTTAATGTGTTAATAAGGGACAATTCGTCGGGATTTGTAGGTCGGACCTGAGAATTTGTCCTCGATGCGATCGATGTTAAGCTACATCAAAAGGCGCAATCGCCGACTACGATCGTCTGACAATGACAGATTCATCGAATTGAGACCAAAAACTGAGGCCTACAGAAACTCTTTTTGCTGCAGGACAATAAAGGAATGGAATTCATTGCCTCGCAATGTTTCAGATATAGAAAAAAACCCATTGTTTCAGAAAGGGCTCACATCAGATTAGAGTAACTGAAGTTTTTAACTAGCAAGTTGCATTTACTACATTGATTGTTGTTGTTGTTGTTTTTTTTCAATTTCCAATTTTCTTTCTTTATTTATTTTTGAATTTTATCAATATGTCTTGCAGTGATGGGTACCAACCTTTGTAGGACTTTAAATTTTATGTACATGTAGATGTTTTAAGTCCGCGGGCGTGAGACTCACACATAGATTCTTCAGTCATAAGAGCGAGGCAAGGAGCCCCTCTGTTCATTTTGCCTGTGCATCTGGGTTTTCCTAGCTTATTTTACGGCTTTAATTGAATAGAGGGCCACTCCTATGGCCAAATTCATCCCCAATGGATTTGTCATTGTTTTGTATCCCAGTAAGGCAGAGTTCAATGGAAGCGAGATTCCGCCAAATCAATAATGGGCTTAATATATATATGTAAAGTAACATAAAGCCTGTTTTCATTGTTGCTCCATAGTAGCGTGTAGTGCTTTTTTATTAAACAGTAATTTTCTTTCCATTTCCTTAATTCATATTGACGGACCATAGCAAAATGAATCGTGCAATAATTTATAACTGCCGTATTTTTTATGTTCTTCCGTTCGTTTGTTCCAGCTTAAATGTTGCGATGCCAAAGTCTGTAGTTACCCTGACTTGATTTTCTCCTGAGTAAAGCTTGTTCTTGCATTTTCTTTGTGACTACTGCGAAATTTTCAGGCGTTATATAGATGAATGAATGTCGTTTTTTATGATTTATTTTTCCAGGAAAAGGCCTGGTCAGATTATTTGAAGCGGGACCGTAAGTATAATTGTTACTTTACTAAAAGCATTAGAAGAAACGTCAAAAACGTTCCAAGTGGACTGATGTGTTCTTTCGTGTGTTTAGGTCTCCGAACGCGTCCTTTGATGCCCTGACAGCTTCATTCATACATTTTCAGAACACTTTGACGCCATTTTGGCAGTGAGAAGTGCGAAACTTTGTAATTTCACATGTGTCAAATTTCGCGCCAAAATTAGGGAGTAATTTGTCACCCATGATATTACGACAACTTCTACCCCAACATTTATGTTTTCTACCAATCGAATTTATGGAATTAAAATATAGGGAACCATATTTGATGCAATCTACTAGCTCTCTCATTTTTATAGTGTGGGAACGTTAGCTAGCCTCCTCTTGAAACCATCTATCACGTTACCCGAAAAAATGTCGGCAAAGGAAAGGTGCTTTACTTTGTTATTCGGCCCAAGCTTATTAAAAAAAACAAAAACAAGACAAACACGAAACTGCCTTAATATATTCGTGCATCATTTTTCTTCAAGTGAGGCGATTTTAACGCGCATTAACCTGTTCCCCTGCCTAAATAAGACAAAGGACGGAAAGGAAAATGAGGATTACAGTCCACTCCCGATTACTCGAACCGACACTAACTCGAACCTCGCGCTAACTCGAACCAAAATCGATTTCCCCTGGATTTCCGTCATACATTCACTATAATTTTACCCTCCGTAACTCGAACCCTCGATAACTCGAAATTCTTCTAACTCGAACCAATTTTCGTTTCCCCTCAGGTCATTTTCTATATAATTTTACCCTCGATAACTCGAAGCATGTTTTGAGCCCTTAAAAAGTCGGGAAAAAAGCCGTCTACTGGCGTCCGAAACATTGAATTTTGGATTTCCTATTGACGTGTTGTAGGAGTATAGTTTACTAGTGGAGGCTAATGTTGATTGTCACAGGCTAACATGAAGCAGCTTTTCTTCTCAAAACAGTAAAACGCATGCTCTGTTTACTAGGCTATGTTTTGTTACGTTACGTTCTGCTTTATAATCTAAAAAGGATCTTTTAATTTTCACTTCACATTTCTACAATTAAATGTGATTAAAATATTCACAGTGCAGTAAAAACTGTTTTTTACCTTACTCTCGGCTATTTTCTTCGAACTCCCGATAACTCGAACCTTTTTTCTATTTCCCTTGAAGGTTCGAGTTCAGTATCGGGAGTCGACTGTACTTGCATAACCATGATGCAACCGTCCGGTCCCCAGATCAGACATATCAGGGGCACCCAGCGACTTGTTTCTGTAAAATAACTGTTCGAAGGAACACATATTGCCTAGATATTTCTAAAGCTTGAGAAAAGCTAAAACGTGCTGGATAACCGTTCCATTTGTCTTAAATGTTGGAAGGTTTTCTAATTTTCGGAGGTTGTGTTATTCACATTTTAATACCAACTTATTGCGATTATTGTCAAAAAAGGTCTCCTAAAAATTTCCGTATAAAGACAAAACGTCCCCTATAATTTTCTAATCAAAGCAAGGCTACTTCATGTCCTCATGCTTTAATTTCTACTGGATCCATAAGGGTATAGCTTACACATTCAGATGAGACGAAAAAGCCACCAAAGACTCTCGTGACAACCAAAGTTCCCCTATGGGTATAGCTTACACATTCAGATGAGACGAAAAAGCCACCAAAGACTCTCGTGACAACCAAAGTTCCCCTAAGACATCCGAACAGATACAAAGTTTTTAGGGCAATTCCAAAATAACCAAACATGCTTCTAAAGCCAGGAGAAAAGCATTTGAGACACTTCTGGCCTATTTGGAAACATTCGGCCGTTGGGTACCCCTGACGTATGGAAAGCCATGAGGTCGATGAACGAGACACTTATAACTGCAACTGCTATCATTGACCATCATTTAGAGAGTAATAGATATTTACTCTAATAAACACACCCCTTTGAAATGAATTTAATGTTTAAATGATCTGAATACCTTTTCAAGCGCTGCAAGATTCCTGAGAGATGCGGTGAGTTTGCTGGATTCAGTCCATTCAATTCTCGATCGTACGTTGGCAAGAATAATCCGGACTGAAATGCCTTGAAAGGTTTGATTCTCCGTCGATCAACAAATGTCTTTTGAAATATCGAGTACATTGTGGATACATTGTGGTCACCAAATATCTCGAAAACAGGCTGGTTTTAGCCTGCCTGAAAATAGCCTGCGGACAGCCGACGCATTTCCGGTCGTCGCTTAGGGACGACCAGAAATGCGTCTGCTGTTCGCAGGCTAGCCTGAAAACCTATAAACCTGACAACTATTAGGCGGCCAGAGGACAGCCTATGAAATTTAATACAGTTGTGCATGACTATACATCTACGATCGGGGGTTGCCGAGGGATATACCGTAAATCCTCTATTAAGCCCCCCGTCTCTAATAAGCCCCCCTTTTCAGAGGAGGAAAGTTAATAAGCTCCCCCTCTCTGTTATCAAAAGGACGAAAACACAAGCCTTTTTTTCTCTGGCAATTTAATGTGGATAACCGATTCATCGTTGTCTTCAGTCTTGACATGGATTGATTTCAGCTGTATTTACTGTCTTAATAGAAAACTATCAGAAGGAATATCTACCGTAGTTAAGATGACGGAAAATTCACCTTGGAACAGTTTAATTTGGAAATTTCATAAAGGTGAGTACTACCCATAACCGTCCCGCGTTTTGCGAACTGAACGTTACGTAACAGTGCCGATGGTCATGTTTCGAGCTTGGGTGTCCTGTGGCTATACGAATTCTTATATTTCGAATGTTATGCAACAATGCCGATGCTCGCAGATGATCATATCTGTAGTTTTTACCATGATAAGTGCAATTGCTATCATTGACCATCACTTAGAGCGTAAAAGATATTTTCTGTTATAAACACATCCCTTTGAAATGACTGTAATGTTTAAAAAATAATAATAAATACCTCTTCAAGCGCTGCAAAATGTTTCACATGCAGTGCACATGTGGGATCCAGTGCTGGCGTTAAGCGTTATCAAATTCCTTGGCAGTTTTGCAGCTCTGTCGATGTAAAGATGTCTCCTGAGTTATCGAAGAAATTGTGGTTACCTAATATCTTGAAAATAGGCTGGTTTTAGCTTGCCTGAAAACCTAATCTGCCGCTAAACCCAGCCAGAGGTGAATTGAACGAACTCAAGTAACCTATGTCACGCCACACGCGTGACTGTACAATGCAGGGGGTGTCAGGGTATATATTTTATGTTAAAAATTTTTCTTTTCAATTAGTCGGACCGAATAGAAAATATTCGACACAATTCAATTCTTTTTTTGTTTTGCTTTGTCCTGTTTTTTTTTTTTTCTTTTCACATGTTTTACTATTATATACCGTAATTTAAGGAAATAAATCAAAACAAGCACACTCAGTGAGGTAGCGTAACTTCTGTGTCACCCCTCCCTACTGAAAACAAGGCTCATTTGAAATGCAAATCTTGCAAAATCACCGAACGCACGTGCGTTTGACCATGGAATTAATTTTTAGGGATTAAAAGATTTGCAAAAATTATAAAGTGCCACATTCGATACCCCGTCTTAATTTTGGTTTTTTCACCCGCATTTCCATCTTACTGATCTCGGGGAAGAAAAACATATTGCTTCTGCTTTGTTAGCAGTAGCTTAACACTGAGCGAATATCACGAGAGCAAACAAAAAGAAGCTGCACTTTTTTTGGCGTTGCTCTTTAAGTAAGTTGCCTATTTATTTATGTATCAATTTTTTAAATTCTACAGTTGAACTACAGCAACAATAATAAAAACAACGGCAATGAACAAAAAAATCCACGAGTAAATAGTGATTAAAAGAGCCTTTCTGTCTTTTCACAAACATCGTAATTTAGGAGAAATATTGTGTTCGTTCTTTTGGAACTAAACACTGGCGTAAGCGGCATATAATTTAAACAGAATGACATAACTGTATATTTCGAATATTCCTCAGTGTTCCTTGATCTGTAGTTTGACCTAATAAATCGCTCCACGTTAAGTCAGATCCGGGAAAGTCAATTTTGCTTGTGGAGTCCGCAATCCAGGGCTTTGGAATCCTGAATTTAGCTAAAAGAATCCAGAATCCACGACTGTAGCGGCCTGGGGCGAAATGACCCAATGCAAGAGTCTTGAGTGCAACTCTCGCGAAAACAAAGTGTCCCAAGGTATTCTCACTGGGTATTTGAAAACCTTTATTTCACAGCTGTAAAAACGTGTTTTCTGGTACCTATATGAATTTAAGAGTCAAGTGGACGAAAACATAAGCGTTTTATCATTTTTGTTAATGGCTAAGTAAGTTCTAGTTGTCTTTACATTGGATTTCAGCTGTATTTACTGTCTTAATTGAAATCTATCCTAGAAGGAATATCTACTTGGAATTGATCACGAAGGATTTAGCACGAAAAATTACCTTGAAAGATTTCAACTTGTAATTTTAACGAAGGTCAGTATTGCCTAATCAAACTCCCGTCTTACAAAGTAAACTACGTCTACTCTGAACTTTCTTCATTGTTCAACTTTCATTTTCGTGGGAACTTTCGCACAATTTAAAAATTTTCCCCTAATAACATTTTGTGACGTGGCAGAAAAATCTTGTTGAAGAGATCGCTTCTGGAACTGTCTTCCGCGACTCCACTTTTTCATGATTTTTTTTGAAGAAACTAAGTTTTTAAAGGCGATTTTCTCATACATGAATATCTTGTTGCTGTTTTCGAAATACTGCGAACGATTAACATATAAATGATTTCAAATTGTGCCAACAAAATGAAGTGTCCTTTTCATTGCAGCTTAATTGGTTCATCCCCCTGTTCTGCACGCTTGAGCTGCTTGACGTCGAAAAACCTTCACTTCTCAACCATTTTTTTCCAGGTCGATCTCATAATGAACCGTGCAATGATTTTGGTGTTTGTGGTCACATTTGCATGCTTTTATTTCATTGTAAGTGAAAGATTTACTCCGGCTATGTCAGTGAGCTAAGGCCTGCATGGCCAGTAACTGTTGCTTTAACTTTAACTGTAATAATTCTAGTAAAGAATATAAGAAGAAAAAGAAAAATGGTACTCAAACTGAGGAAAAACCTGCTGGTAGACTATCGTAAATAGAGGTTACTCAAGCAAACAGTTGCTTCAATCTAGAGTCGCCCACACTATCCTGAAACAAGCTATTCGAGTTCATGATTGGTAACTTGCAGTATGGAGGACTATAATTTAATGATTATTTTTTTATAACTCCTTTCTATTCCTGTATATTACAGCCATCAACCACTTCTACCGTTGCTCAGTGACTATTCCAAAAAACGTGATCGGTCATGACCAAATGTCGAGTATATATTCTATATTGTAGTGAAATCTTTTCTCTTTTCATGGGCGAAAGACCCGAACTTCAGTTGTCACTTGACTTTAATTAATTGCTTTAAAAATGAAAATTATTTTACAATTTTTTTGCATTTCCAATTTTGTGTGGTCGTCAGTACTTGTTATAATAGTTTATAGAATTATAATTATTTGCACGCAGTTCTGTTATATTGCATAACGCATGATTTGTCGCGCTTCACTTTTAGAACCAAGCTGGGGCAGCTTCCGTGAAAAGAAACCGTAAGTAATGAACCATTTTATATTTATTTCTTTTTCTTGAAAACGCTTCACACCAGAGTTAATTTTCAGCGGACTATAAACATTCATTATTATCAAAAGATTGATGAATTTGGTTTATTTCATAGTTTGTCCTTTTTTTTTTAATCTTTATTTGTAAATGATAGTTGTATAGGCGTTAGTACGGCTTTGAAACTGAGAAAAAAACAATTAATAACAACAACTTCAAATTTTTGCTGCCCAAACTTATAAGAAAATTGTGGGCTTGAACAACCGTTTTGCATCTTTTCCCTCTTCGAGATGGTTCGCTAATTAAAGTCGCTGTTCTATTTGCTTTGATCGCACCATTCTGACTATGATTGAGCAAATCCCACTTCTTTTTCTAACGTATCAGATCAACTCGTCAACTCTATAACTTGTTTTTTAGTCAACCAGTATTGACGAAGTGGATTTATGAAATTAGAGGTCAAATTGTTTGTGTCTACCCGTGATGTAGCAACCTTAGATTCGAAATACTTTGTTTTAACCGTTGGAAATGTCTCTCGTGTCTCTCTCTTTTGCAAAAGAGTAGAAAAAGATTGTCAGTTGTCAAACGGGTTTGCTTTGAATCTACTGCAGCGTTTTGGTCAGGACTACCACAACAGGGTGAGTGCCCTAAGAATTATGGAACGGGCATTTGTGTAATACCGGAGACCGGTGGGTGCCTTACTGACGCAGACTGTGATAGGGAACTTCAAAAATGCTGTTCCAGCGGATGTAATAAAGTCTGTACGCAAGGTATGTGAGGAGCGTTGAATCACGTCTCAGTATACATTGTAGCTTTGGCGATCACAATATGCAGGTATCCACTTTAGGGCGGGGGGGCGGGGGCGGGAGTGGTTATTCCAATAGCCTGAGGCTCGGAATTGTTAGCCATTTCAATTTTATGAAATCCGAAAAGGAAAGGGATATTTTTAATTTGTAGTAATTACCATCAAGATATTGGGTATTAATTTATCACACAATCGATTTATTTTACTTTCTCTTTTTGAAGTCTATTTTTAGCGTTCCCTGGATCCAGCTGCAGCGAAAATAACACTGGCAAGAAGACGACAAGTCGCTCATTCGTTGCATATTGGTTACCAAAATGAAATAACAAATAAAATCAAATCAAACATGAAATACAAGTTTTTCTTGCTTTTAACATACCCCCAAATTAACTAGCTAGACCTGATGTCGGTTTCAAAAAGTGCGGGGCGGAAGGGAACGAACGGTAGTGGTTAAAGTTGTCATGTTTCCTGCTGGTTTGTACGACAGTCCGCTATACGTTTCCGTGTGATTCGCGGGGTCGATCGCAGAGTTTAACAGTTCGGAAAAACTGAAAACAGTACGGAAAGTACCCGTAGGTATTTAAAAGGGAGGGGGATTTTTTTCGCCCCTGCCTATTCCCCTTTCGTAAACGGTCGTTGCCATTTTTAATGGTCGATACCACCAAAACTGCTAGCAAAGCGCCTTGATACATACTAGTCAAATCCTGCTTCCTAGAATCGACTGGAGCTATCTCCGTGATCTTTGACACACGTTTGTAAAGAGGTGAAATTGCATGTAAAAAACGCTTCGTTTTCTACAGATAACAGTCGAACATCACGATTGTCCATTTTTTACCGTATTTCTAACCATGAAAACTTCATCCCAAAATATCTCGATAACGATTTTACAGATTGCGCTTAAACTTTACGAACATCGAGGCGGCTATTGGAGGAAAAAGCTACCGTGAACGATTCGCAGTGCAGGGAAATACTGCTGCAAGTAAAACAGGTAATGGCGTCATTTCGTTGCTATGACAACTCCGATGTCATTGCAACCCTGATCTTACCAAATTTTCATCTTTATCTAATACAATTGATGTGGCAATTTTTTCAAATCTTTGTTTATGGCGACGCAGTTTATGCTCAAACTTGGGAAGTATTTACCCTGAAAAACTGTATTGAGACATCTTAAACTGCATGTTCTTCAGCTTGCACTGAATATATTGGCACTGATGATAACGCTTGGTCAACCTTTGTTAGTTTGGTTGCTTTTGTTCAACAGTTTTTAATCAAAACATTAAACAACAGAGCCGCATTATTTAGCGATACTATAGAAATGAAAAACCCCGGGAGATTTTCTGAGGTTGTTTAAAACACTCACAACAAGTGTTCAGATCAAGTCGAATCGAGACTACGTTCACGCGGTAGCGGACTAGTGTTCGACCGATCGAAAATTTCTACGTTTAAGTTTAGGTGTTTCGTTCATACGGAACCACCTTAACCGCACGAAACTTTAGACCCCTGGGGGGTTACTTGGGTTAATTTTTGCTGGGTATGTGCCGCTGGCCTCTCAGTACCCCTTCCCCATCATAGTCTATTCTGCGGCCAAATAT